CTGATATTGTATAATGTTTGAATATGTTTGATCATATTTGATCATGATCAGTGTAAGGACCCAAACGCCCAATGAACAGATGGCGGAAGGTTCCTGGTTTATGCTTGTTGGAGAGCATTGCCAGACGGTTTGCTGCAAGCACAGTGATATCACTGGCACCAGCGAGCCATCCTAAGCCGCTAAGCCAAACAAAAAAAGACAACGACACGCAGTGATCACCAGCGATGGTGTCAACATTATATACCCCAGACACTCCATGTATGCCATATATGCCTACATTCAGGGGTCAATGTAGGTACATATGGCAGTCCCATTAGTCGTGTTTGGGTACTGTAACAGCATCTTCGCCTCTTTGCAGCCTCACCCACGCCCCAGTACCAATCAGCACCATGAGCACGCCGCCCCTTCACTTTCTACCGGCTCGCTCCAAGGAGTACTTCTTGAAGTGGGCCCCGGGCAGTGAGACCACCGGCAAAGACGAGGACGACCGCCGCAACGACCGCTTGGCCAAGCAGTCCATCGATGCGCACAAGGCCACCCTCGGGACGTGGGACTGGGGACTGGCTGCGTGAAACCGGGGTCCTGGCAGCTGAAAGGTGAAAAGAAGTGGGTGAGCTGTGGGGATTCACAGAACTTGTTGAATATCTCTATGAAAAAGGAGGAAAGTCATTGAACGTTTGTTTGGACAAGGATTTGCAGGGGATGGTCAAACCTTCCATATCGCTATGTACACCATATCCAGCTGTATACATACTGTAAACGTAGACTGGCGTGCCAGGGATGCGAAGCGCATGTGCGTCCAATCCAAACGGGTTGTTGCTTTTCGTTTGACATACTGTATATGATGCCTAGAGCACTCGCGGCTGCGTGCCGCCGGGAGCACGTTTGTTCCATTGGTCCGGTCCTGGAACTGACGGAACTCGCTCCGTCTCTCTCGGCGGCCTGTTTCAGCCCTTCCAGCCTTTCAGGTCTTGGGCAAGTTCTTGCAGCCTTTTGGTCGCAAGCCTTTCGGGACGGGATTTGGCCCGGTTCTTTGTGTGGGTCAAGGTTCTTAGTTCAAAAGATTGTAAAGTGGGTCAACTATTCAGGCAACTATTGGCACCATGGTGAGTTTGGGTTCCAAGTGCTAATAAATGCCTGAATCATCTCATTGCATCGACACTCATGCTGGATCAAATGGTTTCTCTCGCCCATCTGGAGGAATGACCAAGCAGCGGCTTCCAAGTCCAAAATCCTTCTGTCACACCCACACCACACCTGTGGTGCCCTGGTGTCAGCTGACATTATCCTCCCCAAGCTGCACCTCGAGGCCAGTCTTGTGCGCCTCCTCGCCCCGAGGTATGCCTTCTTGCCCTTCCACCTCGGCTACACCACCCTCTACCACTACTCCCAGGGCCGTGGTGTTGTGCGGAAGGTCTCACCGTTCATCTAAAGGTGGTTTGCCGGGCCCAGATGTGTCCGACAGCGGGGCCGATGAGGAAGAAGCCCGGCACCGATGGCGTAAAGAGAAGAGGTTTAGTGAAAGGCACAAGAGAATTGAAAGAAAGTCCATCCAACATCATCATGTGTTGGGGGTTTTCTTTTCCTCCGCCCACAGGCCATATCATGGATTCGAAGCTTCCACATGTGAAGCCGTTTCAAGTCGTTTCAGGGCTACTGGTGCGGTGTGTTTTAGCAGCCCAGTGTGCATTCCCGGCCCTAGTGCCCCAGGAATTCAATCATCAACCATATAGGGTTTATGTGGAACAAGTCCTCTGGGTGTTGTCGGGAATGGTTATAGGGTGGAACCCTGCTTGGATTGCTTGACCTTGGTGGGGGCATGTACTACCTACATGGAGCCCACTGAGGCAAGCCATTCCAGCCCGCAAAGGGCAACTTCAATTCAATAGACCCACAAGTTGGGCCGGAAAACACACGGCTCAATTTGAGTTCCAATCATTTCTCAAGACTCGCAGACAAAATCGGGTGTTACTCGGTCGCGCCCGCTGCAGGGCGCCCAAGTGATGAATTGTCTATGTTTGATAGTTTTGCGCATGGAGAATGATTGATGCTCAGAAGAGGTTCAACCGATGATGCAATTGGCCTCGTCACCAGTAAACCTAGATTTGGCTTCAAACGGAGCCAGGGGTGGTTTTCATGGACATCCCGAATCACCTCTAAGGAGCTATAATTGGACACCCCTGGCCTGTGGGCGCTGGTTGGAGAAGTTTCTTATTCAGGTTCCAGTTCCTGCTGAAGAAACCTGAACATACTACCTTCGCAGGTGTATTCCGCATATAGATGATATTGGGTGTATGTTGTGACGTTTCACCACGGGCCACACTCGTCCCTTCACTAATACAGTCTTGTTCAATGCAGATGAACTACATGGAGACCTTGGCGATGGTTGATCATTTGGCAATGGAGACTTTAAATATACCATATGATATATATATACATATATATTGATGGTTGCGTAGCGATGGTTGATTATTTTGTTTGCCAGCAGTAGGAAACCATTTCTTTGAGGGCCAGAAGCCAAGTTTGCATGGAGTTGTATCCCAAACCCGGTCTGGCTGGCTGGCCAATCTCGGATGTGAGCAGTCCTTTTGCTTTCCTTCTTGGGGGGCTTTGCCAAAAGAGGAGCAGAACTTGCTTCTGACACTTCTTCTGAGCTCTCCGCCAGTTCGCCTTCCCAACCAAAGTCCCAGCAGTCGCCGTTTTGGTCGTTCTTTATACTAGTGGATAGTGGAGCCAGCTGGATGACTCCAGGTCTCTCCGACCGTTCACCGCCAAGGCATCCGCACCGGTCCGAGGCCCAAGGCGCCCCCAGGCGGCCCTGGGTCGCCTTGGGTGGATCCCTTGGGGAAAAGAATCACCAGCTCAAGTTGAGGTCACATCATGTATCAAGATGTAGCATGTATTAAGAGATAAAGGATTTGACCCTCCAGAGGATAGCTTTGGTTTCCTGGTACGCATTTCATGGTTTCCTATGAACCTCCTGTTTGTTCATCAGCATGTGGCCGGAGGCGGCCTGCCAGTCTTGCGCTGGCCCCATGCTACAAATTGGTTCCTAAATGTTGGCTGAGTCCTTCAGCTCTTTTTCCACTCGCCTTGGCTTGCATCACCCGCCCTGGCCCACCTGGAGGTCGCACACCTATGACGCTTTCGGCGTAGCAGACGTAGCACATCGGGTCGACCATGGCGACAGTGGACTGGGTGCATCATTCTGAACAACAACAAACAGGTCCGTGAAGACGCAAAATTGGCCGGAGGGAAGAACAATCCCACCAGATCAATGTGTTTACGATGTTTTGCTTCCTTCCATGTTGGTCATGTTATATAGTCTCCATTCTGGAAGCATTGAGCAAGGAGCACCCCTCCACTGACGCTCGTGGACCAGCACTGCCCAGTAGTTGGTTGAATTGCCCAGGGCAGCGATGAAGCACGGTGATGATGCCAGCGCTGTACCATGTGTTCTTCTTCAGCTTTAGCTCTAGCATGCCTTCAAACGAATAATACATTGTATTAATTATGCATATACTTTGGCAGCACCTGTGGGAAGGCATACTTGGCTCGATCGATTTCACCAGTTTTGTTTCAGCACGCCATGGCTGCCGTGCAGAAAGCACCGCAGTTGCCTCAACCCTCCAAACCAAAGCCCTGCAGGGATGCTGAATGCTGAAGAATCGGGAAATATAGTGTTTTTAGGTTATGATTGTTTTGGGGGTCCATCACTATACTTAGAATCTATACTGTAATACTGTAGTAAAAACGTGTTGGATACAGGCCAGCGGAATTGATCAAGGGTGCTTACATGCTTTGTTGTGCTGAGACCTGCGGATTGTTTGTGCAAGAGTCTTGACTCCTGATTGAAAATGGTACCCACTTGACAAGGGAGGTTTGGTGGGTGCTATATACTTATCATTGCACAGCGGGCAGGGCTTGAATTTGTATTTGGCTGAAGCTAAATTCGGTCCCACTGATGTTCAAAGGGCTTCATTTTGATTGGCAAGCATGAATGCATATATATATAGCATATATTAAGTTATATAACGATTATACTTCTTTGTGTCCCATGCGGCCTGGTTTGACCTGCATTTGCTTTAGCATGCTGCACCAACGAGGGATTTGACCAGAAATGGACCCCACTCACTGCAGGTCCTTTCAGCAAGTTTTCGGAGAAAACTCAATGTTCAGAAGTTGTTTGGCCCGCTGACAGCAGCGAACTGTGAGGCTTCTTAAAGTACAAACTGAAGAACAAACAATAAACGGCCGGCTTTTGTGCTGACCAACTGAGAAGAGAAAAAGGAACAATATAGCATCTCACCACTTTTTGATTCACCTACTTGGGCATGGACCAGTCGAAACGACCGAAAGGCGAGCTGAAACGGTTTTAAGTTGAAAAAAAGGCACAACAAATGAGTTGGGACCGCCGCTCACATCCCCCAGATGGCCCTCTTTTCTGGCAACTGCAGTGTTACACGGGAGATTCACCTGGAACCTGAGAATGGTTTGGGCCATTTTCAGGTTCCATGTTCATCTTGGGCAGCCCTTGTGCAGCGGAGGACTTCACTCCAAGCCGTCGACCCGTCGAGCCGCACTCGGCAAGCACTCGACCCGCCCAGCGATTTCCACGTTGACCGTTTTGGCCGTCAGCTGCGAGTGAAGGCTCCAGGTGCGCACTTGAGCAAGGATATTGGACTATAGAATGACGTCACTACTGAAGAAAGCGAAAATAAACTATCACAAAAGATCAAGACTCTAGATTCTCCTGTAGATGCCATCAGCTGTACACGTAGCATGTTTAAACTTGAAACTATGCTGTATATATGCCCAGAACTTGCGTCAAAGACCCTGGCAAGTGTATATTCACCCATGCTGCATACATGTTTCATCGTGCCCCTAAATTAATTGCGGGGAGGGCACATAATGCCTCCTGGGCAGCCCCTCGACTTATTTATACTCCCCAGAGTGGCCAGTGGAAACAAGGTCCAAGGATGTCCAAGGCGAACCGCTGCCGATGTGCAGTGAAGTTTACTTTCGAATCAAGGCTATTAAGTCGCCTGGAACGGTGATGGTCCTTTTTCAGTCTGCGGACTTAGCTTGAAGGGGTTGGACCAATGGCGGCGGCTGAGGGCTACGAGGCGCACCATGACAGTTAGGTGCTGGGAGTGTGTAGGTCCATGGTATGCAATGGCTTGGTTGATGTCTTTTTGGCCTATTTTTGACATCCTATCTGTGTGAGCCTTTCAGTTTTGGGACTTCCCAGTCTAGTTCCAGGATGACTGTATGGCCTTTCTTCCGGTATATGACTCACATTGATATGTACACTCCCAGGAGGGATGACTATGGACACTGCACAGATTCAGCAAGCAATAAAACGTAACAATAGCAGCTGCCAGGGTTTCCGAGGAAACATAGGAAAACACTCGGTCACTATGGGTCTACGAGGAAAAGTTTTGCAAAAACTTATGGCTGTTTTTCCGGTCCATGTCCTTTATATAAATGAACATGGACACGCAACATCTATAGTTGGCTTGCGACACACGCAAAACAGCCGCAAGTAAAAGGGTGCCTCAGAATTGGTTGAAAGGAACATCTGCAGGAATCCCATGGTTTTCACTCCCAAACCTATGGGTTTCTTGTAGAGTTCCCTTCAAGCAACTCTGGGAATATGAGCGACCAAGAAAATTAATTGGCTATTTGTTTAGTCACAGCGTGCTATCATCCATCCTTAGGGCAAATGTTTCCAAGAAAACGATATGGTGCCCACCAAAGGGCGATAATCCAACCAAGATCATGCAGGTGTTGGAGAACGGTATGGACCCCACACTGGACCCCACCCAAAACGACAATAAACATATTCTTTATAAGCTACCCAAATAATTAACATGGTTTGCCGCACATATGGAAGCAAACTATATGTTACACACCCTTGCACAACTGTTCACAGAACCTGGCCAACGACGACCAAACTAGGCGATAAAACAGATGGAACACCCCAGAACCCTCCCAGATCCTCTCGACCCTCCCAGAACATCCCAGAACACTGTTGCTTTTGATCACCTTCCACAGTCAGTGCTACTTCCACAGTCTTGCAATGGCTCTCATGGGCCTCCGCCGTCCGGTGGCACGTTGGGCGAAGGTGGGGTGTTCATCCCACCGACCTCAGGAGGGCCATCCCTTGGGTCTCAGGAGGCCTTCGTTGCCCAAGCCTATGAACAGAATCTACTGAATGGTCTGTCTATGCCCAAAAAGATCTTTTGGCCTTCGTACCTCTTTGTTCTACTGATCTTTGCTTTTGGTTTGAGCCATATAAATTGGCGACTATCACTGGTTCTTTTTCACAATTGTTGTCAAAAAATGACCCGTCGGTTTACATGTCGACTGTGCGGCTATGAATGTTGCTATACAGTATGTTGCCAAGCTTGGTCAAATACGACCTAAGCACGACCAAAACAGGCCAAGTTGGACGATAATTACCAGATAGGCTTTGTCCACGCGTTACGATCAAATCCAAACAGCTGACCGACCCTTTCTTGACTGTCCGGTGTCGGTGTAGTCTGAGACCCTTAGTCCTTTTGCGTTGAGAGGATGTCTTACCAAGCTGCTAAAGATTAAAAAAAACACCTAATCAAAGGACCCATGGACAGCCAAGCTTTGTCCAAACAATCGAGTTCATAGTGACAAAAATAGCTCCCCGTATTTTGCTCAGAACCTTGTGTGTCGTTCTTTTTGAAGGAACTCACAGTGGATGCCCCTCAGAGTCAGTGTGCTTGCGGTTGGTACTGTGGCTAAGTCTAAGCTCAATAGATTCAATAGATCAATATGAAACTCTGATCAAAAGGCTCCATCAAACAGTAGCAGTCAGTACTGAAGCCAAGCATTCAACTAGTGATCACAGCGACTTTATTAAACCGTGCTTGGAACATTTGGGCTGGACTTCTGGCTGAAGCCTTTGAGCACTTCGGGCGAATCCATTCTGAGTGCCGCAGTGCTCACCATCAACAATCCATGTATGGAATATAAGATCGACCCCTGAAACCAACCCAATGTAGGTAAATATGCCATGCATGGATTGGGGCATGTTCACCACCCGTCTTCGTGTGAACCAACCCCCCCTGACCCACGCGGTTGCGCTTGCTCTACCCGTGGCGGTGGTCGGGTTCCTGCGGCGGGCCGAACGTGTAGGATCACCTGGCACGGACCTTCTCCACTGGAGACTTCCTGGCGCGACTGCAGCGGATGGATACCTGCGCCACACGGCTGGAGACGTGAGACGGTTTGGTTCGTTCGCAGCGGTTCGCAGCTGCAAGGAGCCGAAGAACTAATGCTGGAGTTTGATCCTGTTTGTTTTCTTGAACGTTTGTCCTTTTCCAAGTAGTTATTGTGGGATGATGTTCCTTGATGAAGCCGCTTCGGAGAAAAGTGGAGCTGGCAAGCCGCCAGCACTGGGTGGCTGGGTGTTATGCCCGGCTTCCGTCAACCCTAATGAGCAAATCAGGATTGTTGATGTGATGCAAGAGGTTGCACAATCCGCGCTTCCACTTGATCATGCAACCATAATGTTGGATGTTCATTTGCATCACCTGAACTTGTGCACAATTGTGCAACACAGTTGATGTTTGTTTGTTTGTTTGGGGGAGGGGTTGTCAATGTCAATGTCCTCTCCGGATTAAACACACACACACATATATATATATATACGCACTAATTTGCTATGCCAACTGTCAGCTCAATACCTCCCGCTTCCTTGAATCAAGCTACACATTGTTTCACACCCCCCGCCGGTGTTCTTTCCTTTTGTGTCCGGCACCCAGCGGGGTGGACCCCGCCGCTCGTTTGGCGGCCGCCCCATTCGCCGCGCCGTTGAGGCGCTGTGTGATGCCAGCGACAAGAAGGCCCGGGTCATCACCAGCGTTCGACCCTTGAAGCCAGGCCCCTTGCGGGGAAAGGCGCCGACTGCGACGGGAGCGACGAAGAAGCTTCCGGTGCTGGACGGAAGGGTGCCGTGGTAGCTTGGGATGTTGGGGTGCCTATAGGCATATAGTATGCTTCTGGTGATTTCAGGTTGAAGACTGGTGAGGTTGTAAGCCGCAGCTGTTATTTTTTAGTAACTGGACTAATTGTAATATACTACGATATTGCACAATCTATACTTCACTGATTCACAGCCAGTCAACAAGAAGATTCTGCGGCGGCCAGGTTTGAGGCCGAGTGTCCACTAGACGGGTAACCCTAACCAGTGAATACTTGTACCAGCGATGTGTTGCTGTTCTTAAAAATTGAAGCTACGCTTTCAGGAGGTCTTTGGCCCACTGTTTTGAAACACACACGCACAGACAGTTTCAACTGGTAAACCATGGTAAACATTGGACATTTGATTTGCTACACCGCTTTTGTTGCCCACCAAACTCATGAGCGGTGCTGAAGTCTAGTTCAAGACAAGCAAATGTTTCATCTTCTCCCAACATGGCCCCGCCACGAACTGCCTACCCAATGGCAATGCCTTCGCTCCAAAGTCCTGCAGTTGATCTATAGTTTCTTTTCCTCCTGTCATGGTTTTGGCGCTGGGTTCCCTGCAAGTACAAACTGCGTTGCGGTTTGCGGCAAGCAGGGAAGCAGACAACCCTGATATCAAACAGATGGAGACTTATAGCAACACCCTTTACATCTTCGATTGCAATGGATCTATGTACGACCGCGACTTACCCATGATCGTTCCAACATGTCTTTTTTGTCGCTCCACTGGAGGCTACCACATGGTGGGCCGCGCGCGGACGGTCGAGGTGGATGGCGATTTCTTGGAAGTCCTCGTGGCACTGCGAGAGGCGCAACCAGGGGAGGTCATTATGATCGACGCTGGCCTGCGGAGAGGCGGGGAATGGCAAGGAGGGCAGCATTGGTATGGGTAGAGCGAGGCGCTTTGTTGTTGGTGAGGGCGTTTGGATCAAAATGATCAAATCGGCCCTTGTTTCCTCCTTTTCGTTGCCCAAATCCAGCTTTCCGTGGAACACCCCACTTGGCAAGCTCCGGCGCTCCCCCCCCACTGGCGACTGCATCTTATATTATACACAGTTCATCACCGTTCCTTTCCTCCCATGTCCTGTCCACCTTCCCCAACTTGAGACCCGAAGCTGCCGAACTTCGTTGGGCCCATCTTCCTCCCAACCCTCAGGCGACGAGGTCTGGCCGCAGACGGGCGGCCTCTTCGGGGAGCTCTTGGCCAACGAGGCGCAGCGCCGCCGCTTGAGCGGCCTGGTCATCGACGGCAACTGCCGCGACACCCCCTTGCTGCGGCAGCGGCTCGGTCGAGGGGAACCGACCGGGGAGACGACCGATGGAGTGACATCCCTCTTTAGAGGGATTTGTCCAGGTGGTTCACCCAGTGAGGATGGAGTGAGGATGGAGGATGAAAGGGATGCGAAGAAGATAAGCCATCCGAAGTGCGATCACCTTTTTCTTCGCTCCACCGTCCCGCAGTTGAATAGGTGACGACGCCTCTTTCATGTGCCGTAGGTTCACAGTTGTTTGACACTCGAGCGCGACTTGAGATAGTTGGTATAGAGTTCATCTCAGTGCTTTCTCAAGGAAGGCCAATTTTCGAGAAAATCCTACTGCTTTGCTCCTACCAGCCACGACCCGGGCCTCCCTTTCCGTCTGGCGAGCATCATCACTTGTCTCTTAGGATGTCGTTGCCCATCTACCACCGCGGGCAGCACCCAAATGCCGGCACAGCCAAGAAGCGTGGACGCTCCCAGGTGGGGATTTGACAGCTGTTTGGGGCGCCAGAGAAGTCTCAGGAAGCAGAGCCAGGCGTAGCAAATGGAGAAGGAGCCACTTGCATCATAATATGAGGCTGGAACAGGGCAAGTTAGCAGTGCCCTTCCTCGGTGAAGCAGCATGGAAAGACTTGTCAGGATCATTGTCCTTGCTCCTCAGACGCAGTGACTTCATTGTTGTTTGCCCACATCTCCCCCTTTTCATGGAGCAAGACATCTCAACTTCAAAAAGCTCAGCTCAAACCACCTCAAACCACCCGTGCCTCTACCACGGTGCCAGACCTGACTGCCACCGCCCCCACAGGTAGAGATTCAGATGGGAGGCGTCTCCATCCAGCCGGGCGACTTTGTGTTGGGCGACGACGACGGCCTTGTGGTGTGCCGGCCTCGGCCCAGGAAATTCGGGGAGCTTTCGGCATGTGAGGCATGTGACTACATGAGCAGAAATGAGCTCAACATGGAGGAGAAACCAGTCAGAGAAGTGGAATGTGTCCATAGCCATTTTGGCTCTAGCCCGTTTTTGGCTTGCGCCCAAGCAGACAGACAACCATCGTCCAAGCTTAGAATCACCCAAGCTTGATTCGCTGCCCCTTCGGCAAAATGATGAGCATGGAGTATGAGGAACCAGCCGGCTGCATGGGTTTCGAACTCTATCCTGTGCCTACCTACATGGAGTGCCCGGAGCAGCACCTGAACCTAAAAATGCGTAGCATGTTTTGGCAAATCCAGGGTTTTAAACACTTAAGATACGCCTTCTTGTGCAAAGCCAATGTGTGTTTGTGAGGGTTCTGACGGGTTATGGCATTTAGGGGTTGCTTTATTGCCATCCTGGGGATTTGATTTTGCTGGTGACCTCTCACCTGTTCAATGCTTTGATTCCAATGGCAGACCACCAGATAATGTTCGCGATAATCGAAAGGGGGGAGGATATGGGGAGGATATTTGCTTTAGAGCCCACAGGTGGAAGCTGCAACAGTGCGCAAAATTCCGGGCAAGTTTTGATTTTTGGCGAACCACCCAACCATGCAAGTGACGTGCTTCTTTGAGCTAATTTTTGGAGTTGTGTACTTTCTTGTGATGGTCCGTTGGTTTCGTGGATGATGTGTGTGAGATGTGGAGGATGTGGTCCTTGAGAATTGGATACCCGGACACTCCATGTAATTATGTCATATTTGCCCTACTTTGGGGGTGGTGCCAGGGCCCTGGGGGGGGTCAATGTAGGCAAAACAATGGCAGTTCCATGGAGTGTTTGGAAGATGTTTGGGACCTTTATGTCAGGTGAATCCATTCATCCCTTCCGATCGCAGCGCCAGGCAGCCCTATCCCTTGATCATCGCCAGCCCGCCCCCCGCGCCGCTGGAGCCCGTTTACACGCCCAGCGAGCCATGCGTCCTGTCCACCCAACCAACACCTCCCAGCTTCCTCCCACCACCACCGGTGACGCAAGTGCAGGGCCAGTGGGTGCAGGCTAGTGCGCCCTATGCCATGCCCATGCCTCCTTCACTCCTTTGTCCGCTAAAACCGGAGATGCCATCACCCCCCAAGACAACCCCCAGGCAGCAGTTGCTGCTGGACCAGTTCTTAGAGCCACCGAAGAGCACCTCGCCACCGCGCAGCGGATCGGGCACCACCGGCACCGTGCCCCGCTCCGCCGAGGGTCCGTCGGTGAGGCCGAAGGTCTTGTCTCCAGGACTGGTGTGTGAAGAAGGCCACAGCCCCCGGGTGAGGGACGCGGAGAAGGTTGCTTCGCTCTTTGAAGACAACAAGACCACGGTGATGATGCGGAACATCCCGAATCGCTATACGTGTGAGGAACTCTTGAGTGAGGTCATGGCCGCGGGCTTCGATTCCATGTTCGATTTCTTTTATTTGCCCATGGACTTCAAGACCAAGCGCAATCGGGGTTATGGCTTCATCAACTTCCAGTCCTCAGACATCGCCAAAGACTTTGCGCGGAATTTCCATCATCGACAGCTCTTGCTCTACTCCTCCAGGAAGATCGTGGAAGTGGCTCCAGCTGTCACACAAGGGTATGAAGCCAATATGAGCAAATACTTCGAGAAGGATTCGGAGCGAATTAAGAATGACTGGTTCAGGCCAATGCTCTTCTCCAAGAAGTAGACGCCCTGAGGACTTGTTGAGGCCCGCAAAAGCGGCCTCAGCATTGAGCGAGGCAGTGAATTCAGCGAAGCAGCGACCGGTCGAATGGTTGCCCGAGTTCAATGGATAAGTCAGTTCAGTCAAGCTCAGTTCTGCCATTCAGTTAGTGTTTCCGTGCTAATTCAGTTCCTACATGATGGCAACTTTGTTTCTTGACACTCTCTTGGGCAAAATGGGAGTGGAGTTGTTTGCGGTTGAAAGCAGCCGACTACACTCCCAGCATCTTTGGGCCTATGCATGCAAATTTGCGCCTACTGTAGGGCCACCCTGAGTTATCCAAAGAACTCCAGATTGATCTTGGAGCCAGGACAGATCAGGACAGTTTTGATGGAATTACCATCGGGCGATTGGCATCATCGGGTATTTACATCTATGTTTGTATTGTGCCTTCTTGGCATTTCACTCTAGAGTTTATGGAATCTCAGGAAGCTCACGGCGTTTCTTCGTGGACGGGAAATGATGGCCACAGAGGTGCAGTTCCCCCTGGATGCTTTTTCACACACACGGTTGTGTGCGATGCGTTGCAGGGCCTCAGGGACCTTCACAGCCAGAGTGGTTCGACGATGGCCGAAATCCTGCTGAGCTGTGAACAGCTGAGCTGAGCCTCAGCAAGCCGATTTTGGCACAGGGAAGATAGGAGAGACGCTATGATGGTGATGTTTGACCTTTGGCTCCACTTATATATATATATATAGTTGAAAGAAAGATATAAAGATGATTGCTGAGGGATTTGGTTGCCAGCTGCGTAGTTGCATATGCGCATATGCTTGTTGTATCCTTATGCCGATGATTTAAGATGCTAATTAAGGAATGAAGATTGGCTCACAAGAGGGTCCAACTTCAAATCTGCACGTGTGTCCACAGGAACGTGTGGCGCGTTTCTGGGAGATCGGTTTCCCGCGGTCCGCTCAAGGACCGGGGCCGTTTGGGGTCGGGGACGGTTCCACCATTGCGTTGACCTGAAGGCGTTTCCGACGGAGGGGCCGAGGACGACCGGCTGCGAAGTGGTTGCAGATTGGCCAACAAAAGGGCCAAGCAGTTGGTTGGTTTCAACATGCTCGATTGGCGTGTTCAGCCTTCAGACATCTTCAGACTGGGATCATCAGATCATATGAAACTTCATATGAATTAATATCATAATCGTTCTTTTTTTGTCGATCCATCAGGCTAGGTTTGAACCTCGGGTTCTAAACTCATGTTGAAGCCGCAGAACCCAACAACCATGCCAAGACAATCTTGCATGGCCCAATCACACCTGGGACTTCTTGCAAGAAGTGGGAACCCCAGTGACCCGCAGGGCTGAAATTCAGCGAGGTGGCTGTGGAGCTTCGAAAAGATGAGAACACCGAGAAAGCACAACTCTAATTATGGTTTTCTGCGACTGAAGCCTGACAGGAGTGCGCACCTTTTAGTCACGCTCCTTTCGGGTGCCCAATGACTAATAGGATACAGAAGGTGTATAGTAATGTATAGTATATACATATTATATATATAGATATAGGAGTGCGCGAGCTTTGTACCAGTGAGTGTTGCTTGATGCTGACCCTACATCGCCATCCATCACCCGTAATAAGCCTGGTACCCGCTGCAACCGACAGCTTCGACGCCGGTTGCGGGTGAGGGTTTTGCGGTTGTCCGAAAACTACCTTAATCTTAAGTTAAAGACACCTTCAGGTGAGCTAAGGCTATGCCAATGGCCAATGGTTGAGCGAAATCAGGTGAAATCTATAGCTATACAGTAGCTTAAGTATGCTTAAGTACTCATCGTTCGGGACCTAAGGGTGTTCGGATAGAAGCAGCTATGGCTTGACATGTCGTGAAAACAGCCCAGCTTCCTCAGCTGTGCAGCCGCATTTTGTCACTGGAAAGACCTGCTGGAACTGTGAGACGGGATGCGTGCAACGTGAACCTGCGCGACGTGTACAGAGCAAAAAGGCTCCTCCCGCGTCGCGGGAGCACGGTGGCCAACATTCAGCATTGCTACACTAGTGTTGATGCCCCCCCAGAAGTGCCCGAACAGTGGGCGTCAGAATCCAAGTCAGGCCAGCAGAGGTTGAAGACCCCTAGTTCCGCTAGTTCGACTATCCTATAGTCCTATAGGTACCCCTGGTGACGGGTCCTAGTTCAGGTCACTTAACCTCTGTAGGTGTGAGAAGATCCCCAAGATTTTCTACCAAACCACTGGCCTCGCACCACAGGTGCTCGGAGGAGGAGCTGAGTGGGTGGCTGCACAAGGCAGAGGAAACCCAAGAGTTGGAGGGTGACTTGGTGAGTGGATTCCGCTTTTTTCGTGGTGCCTTTTTCCGTGGCATGCTCATTATGAATTCAATAGCGCTAGGCGGGCTAGGCTGCTGGTTTGAATTGGCCAACTTGAGTGACCTTCCCCAACTTGACTTTGGATCATTCCTATACTACCAAGGGCCTCCGGGCCAGGGGTGTCCAATTACAGCTTCTTAGAGGTGATTCGGGATGTCCATGAAAACCACCCCTGGCTCCGGGGGCCCTATACTATCTATATAGGCTCCTTTTGTGCCGAGTCGGAGGGTAACGAGTCGCCCACCGGTGTCCGAGTCCAGCGTCAGCTGTTCGCCTCAAGTCCAGCGTGATTTCTCGCACACGGTTTCCCCGAGGAGAGATTCTGGCGCACATACAGGCCGGTGGAAGCTTGTTTGAGAAGCTTAAAAATTTGGAGGAGAGGGTGATGGTCCGTGACAGGGTGGCGCCGCCCTTTTTGCCTGGTGGTCCGGATCCCGACCAAACATGGAGGGTGGCTCAAGGTCCGCCAGCAGCCTTTCAGAATGATTAAGGTTTTCTGGTGTTTGATTGTTTTTCGGCTATTGCTATTATTTTTCAACCAAAAGTTGAATCTAACGATACTCACATGATTCTCTGATGGCTGCTGGCGAATGATTCTCTCACCCTTCGCAGAACTCGCGCATATCTTTCCCCCAAAGAAAGAAGAACCATGCACACCCCTCCGCTTCAGCATCGCTAGCTCTCTAATGACTCTCCAGGAGCATCTGGAAGATTTGAAGGCTGGGAAACCTTCTACCTTGAAGTTCCGCTCCTGAGCCGCCCCAGTGCCGCTCCTCCACCGAGCGAAGAGAGACCGGCGCAGCAGTCCGGCCGAGACACGAGCTGCTCCGTGGATGGGTCGCCCAATTGGAACCCGGTGGAAGCTGTGAAGACCTAGTCGTGCTGAAGAGCAAAACAGCTGTGCTATTTCATTGTATCATGATATATATGTACCGCTTGGTTTGGGGTTGCTTCATTAGATATCATATGTGATATGTTTGATATGTCATGATGTTTACCCAATGGCTGGGCTTGCTTCTTTGGGATCATAGATCATTTCAGGATGTTTTGATGCTTTGCCCGTTGCTTGGAGCTTGCTTTACGAACATCTGATATTTCAGGATGTTTCACACATGGGCCTTGCTTCTTTACAGTTATTTTCCAGAGTAGATGGCACAGACCCCATGATGTCCTGAACATATGGAGGTCCATATAAACTACCGACCTTGGGGTCTGTGCCATTGGTCCTCTCAATCCACGATGATTCGCCCCGACTGGTCGTTTTGTTCGCCTGGTCGAGCCGGACAAGCCTCGAGTCTGACAAGCCTCGTGTCTGACAAGCTAAGTACTGTCGAGGCGGTAGGAAGTGGACCATGGGTCTTGCTTTTGCTCTTTGCCATGTGACTAGCTGCACCAGACCATGGTGGCAGACATGTGAACGTTGGAGTTTCTCTGCAGGCCTTTCGGCTCCAACGAGATTTTGGGCATCCGAGAGGACACCATGGCGCTGGCCTTGGGTCAGCCCTGTCGGCTCCCAGGATGGGCCACCGCTCCCACCGCACCACTCCGACCATCCGCACAGCGCGCCCCTCTCAGCCGCCCGGCTCCCTGCGGCGTGGCCTTGGGCGCGCTGGCGGCCGCGGTCCACGCGCGCGCGGGGCGCGGTGCTCGCAGCGTGAGAAAGGCAGAACCTGATCAGCCGGCGCCCAGCAGGGAACCAGAGATTGATCCCAGGCGGCAGGATCCACCAGGCAGGGTATGAATGCATGGGGCCTGGGGAAGTACGGGCCGTGGGAAGACCTTCATTGATTTGGGCTTTAGGATTATTGAGACGGCACTGAATCCATCACAAATCTCGTTGTGCATTTTCTCCAAAAAGAAGAGGGCCACTTTCGGCCGGGCGAATCCGGCGGGTTCCGTCTTTGGAGGCACCACGCCTCCAGTGCGTATGCCCATGGTGGACACGGGGAGTGGTGAGAAGATCGATGTCATGTCCAAGCTCTTGGAGGATCGGAACCCTTGGCTGGATACGGAGGGGGAAGAAAACGGGGGGGCAAACCCCTGACTGTTCCAAGGGTTGGAGGATGAACCTGATGGTCCAAGAGACTGGGAGATTTTGCATGAAGTCGAGGGGGTAGTCATTGCCTTGCTCAGGCGGGCGACCTGATAACTTCACTGGGTTTTGTATGTGGTGCCAACATCGACACCGGAGGAAACGAACCTTTGTCTTCCTGAGCTGTAGGGGGTGGTTCTTGAAGATGGCTTCTTGAAAGGAATAAATTTGGACACCCAATATAAAGAACACACCCGGCCTGGATATATCCTTTGGTATTTGTTTGGTATGCAGATTCCATGTTCTTTCAAGTGGGCACTCTATCCACCTCCATTTCAGAAAGGGTCATCATCACATCAGTTGCGTCACTTGGACCCCTCGATTAGCCGCAATGTGTGATAGTGGAACGCTTGAAGCCGCAAAAGTCGAACTCGTGGAAGCGAAAGAGCCCCGCTGATGGCGTCTCGGGCCCTGGAAGCGTCACGAAGTCATTGGGGATGTGGTGGTTTTCAGACCTGACTCTCAAGATGACATCATCTCCACCTGGCCATGACGCACGAATGAAAGATCATGAAGACGTGGGATCCTGGATTCACATCTTTGCAAGTTGGATCCTTTTCTTTTTGCATCACTTTAACTCTATTGAATTCTTGTTTCTCAGCAAATGTTGTTCCTAGTAGCGATGCCAGGAGCCCCTAGTAGCGTCCTTGCTCCTAGTAGCGATGCCTTTTGCTATAGTAGCGTCCTCTACCCCCTGCTTGTTCCGAATGGGCATCGTGACGATCGCGGTTTCATCACACTCGTTTGCAATTGAGAAATGGTGTGTTCTGTTCGATGAAAGCGGATGTTCCAGCAGCAATTCACCTCGAAGGAACCCCACAATTTAGGCGCGTGCGTGTTTCAATTCTGTTAGTGTTAGACTAGAGGTAGTTGAGCGTGTGGAAAACTATGGAAGATATGGAAGCAAATCCGGTATTAAGACTTCTTTCTCTGCCTGTGTGCGTGTGAGGTTCTACAAGGAGTCCAGGTTCGTGTGTGACGTTGACGAGAGTTGGCGGAAGTGTTTTTGACTCAATAGCAGAATTCTGAAATCGCCGCTCAAGTACGGTAGGCCACAACCTTGACTTTCAAGGTGGCCACCAGGTTTGTTCACCCATGGACTTCAACATACTTATACATACTTTGTCCAGCAAAGGACCATGCAAATCACTATTTTCTGAATGTTTCTTGGTTTGTAGGGGTGTTTTCTCCCACCCTCCGGCGTCCTCTTCCCCTCATTTCCCCCCTCTCCGGTTTTTCTCCGAGGATCATCATCCTCGGTGGCGAGGTGAAGGATGAAATGGCCCAAGTCCTTGTGGCGCAGATGTTGTATTTGGCCAATTTAGATCCCAACCAGGCTCGGGCACCTTCCGGAGGCCGAGGAAGGTGGGCACATCCACGTCCCCACCGAGTGTCGGATGGAATGGGAGTGGCTACCAGATTCGTGCGGAAGACCGAATCAAGGTCGCAACGGCAACGGTGAAGCCCTGCACACCGATGAAGTGGCTGACTGCACGATAAAAGACAGCAGTAAGGCAGTAAGCTATCGTAATGACGGATCCCGGATGAAGGAATTTAGATCAGCAGCCCTGCTGGGCCTGGAAGACCCTTGAAACAGATCGCTTTGACTCTGTTGGGGGCCAATCCCACTGGGGATGGATTCACTGGCCGTCACGGCCGTCACGGACCATTTGGCCAACTTCCATCCCCATCTCTCCAGTTCCGTGACTCCCATCTCTTCAGGTTACAAGGTGAGGCTGTTTCAACCTGTTTCAGCTCAAAAAACGCCCCCGCAATGGCTGTTTCAACATCATCAAACCGATCTATGCACCTTGAAATCCTCCCTTTCTCTTTCAGTCGAATAGCGCTCACAGGACATCACCATGTACATCAACTCCCCTGGCGGGTCTGTCTCGGCCGGCATGGCCTCTTGGGCTGCAGGGAAGAAGGGGCGGGGGCGGGGCTTCTTCGGTGTTTGGGAAGAGGTCAGAGTTGGTTCTCGTAATTGGAGTTTTTCGACACCAACTAAGACACCATCTTTGAGCATCTAGAGGTTTTTTTATCACTCCGGCTCCACATACCTTCTCAGAAGCTAATTGGACCCTCCTGGCGGCTACATCAATAGTCTCCAATCACCTTCTCAGAAGGTATGTGGATCCATAGGGGCAGGTGAGATGTTCGGTGAGAAACACCGCCCAGTCCCACGGGCCATTGGCTCGTGATGCCCGGTGCACGTCCTACGCCACCGAGGCCATCTATGACACCATGCAGTTCATCCCTTGTGACTTGAGCTGAGGGCATAGCCCGGTCGGCAGCAGTCGGGGTAATGGTAAGCCGGGCATTCGTGGTTCGTTTGGCATTGACCAACTATGGCTGGAGGCTAAGGACTACGGAGTTAACGGAGCTACCTTAACGGAGGCTAAGTCACTAGTCACTAGACCTCAGTATAACAAACTCATCAACTCCCACCAACTGAAGACATCATGCAGAACTACAGGCTTCCGCAGCATGAAGCCTGTTTTGTGTGCACACCTTCCTGCTTGGCTTGTTCTTTGAGTCTTGGCCTCCAGGCATTCACAGGATCAAGTTCGAAACTAGTTTCCTGACGAACTTCCACGCATCAAAGCCATGGCCACCATCTCTTCCCTTCCCTTCATCAAGGGAGTGTCCTCCCCAAGCCGCTCCTTGAGCGTGCAAGTGGTGGCTGAACAAGAGGCCGCCCTCTTGAGGCAAGTCGAGCACTGGCATCAGATGTACTTGGACTCAGATGCCTCCCTTGCTCAGGTCAAGGCATCGGAAAGTCTTCTGCAGAAGCAACTGTCTAGTGCCATCGAACGAGAAGGAGTGTTGTCTTCAAAGAACATGGAGCTTCGTTGCCAACAAGCCAACGAGGCCGAAGAAGCACGGAAAAAGGCGATGCTTTGTGAAGAGCTTGGCCGTACACGTTTGATGCTGCAGCGCAAGGAGGAAGAGCTGCAAGGTGCACAGAGGCAGTCGGCAACCCGGGCTGAGGAATTGGAAACTCGTTTGGACTTCAACGCTTTGGTGGTTGCGAACATGAATGACTGAATGATAAATAGAGACACATATTTATACTAGTGGGGATTAGTGGGGATTGGTTCGCCGAGAGTTCAGTTTGGATTTGCCCAGGAGAAGTTGCGGGAGGATCTGCGGAAGAAGCTTGTTGACCTGGAGAAGCAGAGGGCGATGGAGTGGGAAATGGGTGACCTTCGGAAGAAGTTGGAGGCTTCTTTGAAGAAGATCACGAGCCAGGAACACATCTGCGAAGTCATGGACCGAGAGCTGAAGCTGTTGCGGAGTCAACTTCCTGTCAAGGAAGCCGAACTTCTGAAGTTGAAGAGCGATTTGAAGAAGAAGACCATTGAGGCTGAACAGCATGACAAGGCCATGCAGTGGGAGCTCTCTGATTTGCAGGTGCGTTTGGGCACATCTTTGCAGAAGACGGCCGACAGCGAGGAAGAGGTGCAACAGCTGCAGGGGCAGTTGAAAGAGAAAGAAGTTGAACTCGAAGAGATGCAGAGCCAGAAGGTGGAGGCTTTGGAGTTGCAGATGGCGGAGCTGCGTGGGCGATTGGAGGCTGCTTTGAGGGAGAATTCCACCAAGGACCACCTCGTTCAGCTGAAAGAGCAAGAATTGCAGAAGCTGAAGGTCATTGTCGTTGTTGGCCAAAACACGCGTTTTTGGGAGCGACTTTTGGTTCCCAGTGTTCAATTCAATCAAGTTTAGAAAAGAACTGGAATACCGTGGTTTCTAGCCTGAAGAGGAAAATATGTTTTGAAAGAGTCCTATTGTGTACTTCCCTTTTCTTTGATCTTTTTTGCCTTGTTCTTTCATTGGAGATAGACCGGGTAGCACCCCTTCTCATGAGATTCTCCCAACCACTCGTCCTTTTGTCTGAGAAGCTGTCAGGTTGAGCTTCTCAAGGAGCACGAGCTTTGCCACGCCGCGGTGGCTGACAACTGCGAGCTCAGGCAGATCTACTACGAAAAGCTCAATGCCTTGGGGCAACAGGAGGCAAAACATCAGAGGTCGGTGGAGGTTCTGGAGGCCGAGAAGGACATGTGGCTCAACAGAAGTGGTCAGTGGCTGGTCCAAGAAACCGTTATTTGTACGGAACAAACTCTTTTGAAACTTGTAATGAGGATGTATATAGTGATTGTTAACATACAGTAGATGTGCATAGTATAGCATGCTGCATATAGCAGTTCTGCAAGTTCTGTTTTCCATATACTTAGACTTTGATTTGGGAGAGGGTCATTGATCAAACAAGGTTGGAGAAGGTGAACGATCGCTTGCGCTCGGATTTGCAGAAGAATCTTCAAGTGGCCGAAGCAGAGATGACTTTGCTCCCCACACCACCCAAGCCCACGGCCCATCTAGCGCGGGAGCCTCCTTTCGGCAGAGAGCCTCCGGGCGGACCCTGCTTCAACATCGCGCGTGTGAGGGCAAGAAGCAGGGGACCTTCGATGCTGAAGGGAGAGAAGCTTAGTCAGAATTGACCGGAGCATTTTGGGATGGTTTCCTCGCAAGATACCGTAGTTTGTTTGAAAGAACTCTTAAGGTTAAGCGGGGGAAAACCACATCCCTTTTGTACAGTGTGGGGTATTTTTGTTGCCCCTTGACGCTTGCCAAAGGGCTGGTGTTGTTTTTTGCTAGCGGCAGATGATCCGCTACTATTCGTTGGAAATGTGAACTGTTAGCTCTCGGCTGGGAGGTTGCACTGGGACTGTGACAAAGTCAGCACTTGCGGCCTTCCAGAACCTGGAGGAGAACCTCACAGGACTGCAATCAAGCACAGTCCAAAAAAAGAGAGACAGAGAGGCTTGAGCCGGCTGGCGGGTGTTTCCCGCAAGTTGACAAAGAACTGTGTGCACCAAAGATGGCACTATACATCACGATTCGTCGCTTGATCAACTCCGGGATGGTCGAGGTCGACACAGGTCGTCCCCTTCCGGGGCGGACTTCCAAGGTATCAAGTCTTCCAAGGTATGACACAGATTGACACGGCATTATAAACAGAAACATTTACTTGCAGTTACCTTGGTCTCCACCGCATCGTCACTGGAACCACGCGGACCGGTGCCCAAAGCGAGCGCTCGCTTTAGCGAGGCGATGTGAACACAGTGTGCTTCGGCATGGCCGCCTCGATGGGCTCCTTCTTGCTGGCAGCCGGCACCAAGGGCAAACGACGCTCGACGGAGGACGACGCGACCGTGCTGGAAGGTGAGCGACGAGCTATGAGGCCCTCAAGCCCCAAATGGATGGTGTAGTGGGGGGATTTACGACGAACATTCGTGGATTAAGGGATAAAGGATGAAGGGATAGCTCACTGCCAGCAAGAGTAGAGTAGTAGGGACCCAAGATGTCCCAAGATTTCAAGGGAGACGCGTGTAGGATGGTGAGGTGAGGGGGTTGAGAAGAAGGGTGCCAGATGATACCGAGGGAAACCAAATAGAAAAGTAGATCTCCAGATCATCCCCAGATAGAATGTATTGGAAACCGTTTCTATTTGGAGGCCACTTTTCTGTGCAAAGCATGGAAAAAGAGGAAGGGATGTGATCCAAGTCCTCCGACCTCATTTGGTCCATCAACAACCGGGATATGCCATCGGTCTTGGGCCGCCGATGGGTCGGTCTCAGTGTGTCAATGAACCTGCGGTTTTTGTCAGACAAGAATGATGTCGGACGTACTCGGATACTGCACCACCTAGAGGTCGGCCCCTTCAACCTAACTCCGAAGCTGATCATAGTGTTGCTCCACTCGTTCAAGCTTATCATCGCCGGACCCAGGAAAACTCTGAGAATCTTGAAAATAGGAAAAGAAAACAACAAGCAATAATAAAGCAAAACAAATGCAACGACAAAAAGCACAAACAGATAATATGAAAAAGCAAAAGCACACAAAAAGCACATGAAAAAGCAACACCATTTTTTTGGGGGGCGTATTGATTTATGCATTCTGTTGAATGTTATGTTTTTTTCTTTTTGTAGCATTGTTTTCGATGTTTTGCTTGCCTTTTGTTGTTTCGTTTTTGTTTTCCGCTTATTTTTGCTTGGCGTTTTTCGGGTGTTATTTTTGTGTGTTTTTGTTTTTGGTTTGCTTTTTCATTTGCTGTTTTTTTTTGGCTTTTTGGATTTGCAATTTTTTGCTTTGCATTAGCTTGTTTTTTGCTTTTTTATTGTGTGGCAAAGCCATCAGAGTTATGCTAAGTGGTTTTCTTAAGTTCAAGCAATTCTTGACTACGCACCTAGTGGACCTACACTCCCTGGAACTAACAAGGATGTGGAAAATGGCCCCTTGGAAGACAATTTCCTTTACAACACATGGTTTTCCACTTCCATGTTAGTTCCAGGGAGTGCAGCAACAGCAGAATTCTGGTGTTGCCCTTCATGTTTGTTGTCTCATTAGACGGTGTTGGACCCTGCAATGCCTCGTGGCTAAGAAGACACCCGGTTTCTTGTTTCAGAATGTTTCAGATTGATAGTAAATGAATCACAACAGAACTTTGTTTGGCCAGGTCCATGGGTCAAAACCAGACCCGGGTGGACTCCTAAAGGAATCCTCATGAACCAGGAAGTTGAAGCTACATATCTTGTTTTTTTTGTCTCAAAGCTCATGGATCCTGCCAATCCATCCATATCCATCCTCACCATGGTGACTCTTGCGGCTCAGGCAAGAGTTTGCCCAACTCACGTGCCTTGGCATGGTGGTGCCGCTCGGGACGACCATCGCTCATCAAAGTCCACAAGGGTCGCATGCAGTGGAGGAGGTGCTAGAAGAAAAGACGAGTTCCTTTCACCTAGGGGAATGCTATGATATTATGACATTATATATGATACATTACGGAATATATGATATTGACATATTGATATGCCTCTATTATGCTTTTCGGGCTTGGGTTTTCCCCTGGGGACCTCAGGGACTGGCAAAAAAACAACAACGTGGTGAACGTGAGGTGAACGTCAACTCATTTGACTTTTTACCCACACAATCCCATTTGCAAATATATATATAATATATCATATCATATATCCCAGACACTCCATGTATATCATGTCATATTTGCCTATACATTGGGGTGGTTTGGGGGGTCAATGGGGCGGCAGTCCTATGGCAGTCCCATCAGTCGCGTTTGAGTTTGTAGCCTGTTTCTTTTGAGGAGACGCCACTCATGGAGTTGTGCTGGCCACCTATCTTCCACCGCCTCTTTCCCAACCAAAACGCCCCCACGCAAACACCCCCGGCCACCAACGACGGCGTGGGACCCAACCCCTCCGAACCCCCAAACCGCCTCTTTGTGCCACCAAGCCCTGCCGTGCTGTGCGTGGTGCGGGTGGAGCGGAGTGCGGCGGGCGACAAACTCTTCGCGCGAGGTATCATGATCCATCAGCCGTTGGGCGGTGCACAGGGCCAAGCCTTGGACGTGCGCATCCAGGCGCGAGAGATTCTCCATCTGCGCCCGGGGAACCGAGCTGAGCGGGAGCGGGAGCTGCGCCGCGAGCGCACGCGCGCTGGGAGGGGGGGTTTGGGGAGTAAAGACTCATGAGAACAGGTGCTTTTTGCGAGTCTTGGGGCTTGGGGGGGATGGAGGATATGTGGAGGTGCTATGTGCCCTAAATATCATTATACTGTATATGCCTATAGTAAGCTAGGGACAACTATGCGTGATAACTCAGAAAGCCCGCATGATCGCATGAAAAAAGGGTCTTGCCAATCTTTGAGAAGATGATTCTGTTGTATCACATCTTGTTCACAACTGGTTGCTTGACGGCACTTGTACATTTCGGATTGGCCAAGTCCAGGAAGCAAGATCAAGATCTTAGGAAAGATAGGCTTATATATTCAATGGATATTATGCCATATTCCTGCCAAGCTGTGCTGAGGTGAGATCTTGAACATGCACTTGGCCGATGCAACCGGCCAGCCCATCGAACAGATTGCCAAGGCAACCGCACGGTCGCCCCGCTCGGTCGGCCGCACGGTCGCGACGGCACGATGGGTCGAGAGACCGGGATGCGGGAGCGCAGCCTGGGTAGGTGCGGAAGCTCCCGCAGGTGCTCTTTTCCCGGTGACCGTGTGAAGTGTCATTTGTCTTCCTTTTGGGTGGTCCAGCCCGGGCCCTGCAGCGACCCGGAGGTGTCTTTTTTTGTTTTCTTCCGACGCGAACGCGACGAGGCGACTGCGGTGAACGCTTCCGATGCGTGCATAGCGAGAATCCGATCAGCGCGAGCGAGAATACTTGGGTGTATAGAGATGTACCTGATTATTGTAGAACTGGAGAGGCAGGGCATGCAAAACTTTGCTTCCAGCGGTAGGAAGAACCTCCGTAAGATTGCAGATAGCAGTATAGAGTCCAGCAGTGATGTTTGTCAAGTAGTTTGGCTCCTGAAAAGTACATCGAGGTTGGAGAACTGCATCGAGGTTCCAGAGCAAGTCTTCAACATCATGAGCTAAAGGAAGGGTGGTTACCTACATGCAGGTTGCGCAAATTTCAGCGGTGATGTCGTCATGTGTCAGTTCATGTGTCGTAGATGTTCATGTGCTGCTGCTTGTGCTGCTGCTGCTGGTGCTTTCGCAGAAGAGTATGAATGATTCGATCCCCTGACCCCTGAATGGGAATTGGTCAGAAAGAGGACAGTGCATGTGTAAGATGGAACCCCGGTCACATCTCCAGTCACCTGATATAGATGGTGATAGGAGTTTTGGTTTGCAAACATACATGTGCTGGATGTGCCATTGGGGTTTGCATGACAGATCTTGCAAAACCGAATCAGGAACAGCCAATTCCCCACTACCGGGCAAGGTTTTGGCCCATATTCTTTTATGCAAGGACTCTTTGGGCGTCGCTGTGCCATTGGTGTTTGCATGTTTTGGGACTTCTTTCCACCTGATGCGGTGTGCTGTGATGTGACTTTTCGCCAACTGATGTGACTTCAATCCAGCGCTTGTGCCCCAAATTTAAGCAATATGTAACAATGTAGCAACAGCTCAATGTGATATTTCAAGTGATATTTCACCCCTCTTCAGTGCAAAAATCTGTGAATTGATTGGGTTACTCGGTGGAACAGATGGGAACACGTGCGAACGGAACGGCGGAACGGTCTACTTTGCGTTGCACTTCCTGAAAATAGATGAACATCGGCCCAAGACCAGACCATGTTCTGAAAGTCTGAGGTGTTTTTTCCCAAACAGTGTGGTCACACTAGGGGTTCTCACGGTAGGTGTTAAGCACCGGTGTCTAATCGGGCATGCGCGGCTAGCGCGCTGCTATTCACAGTACATTCATGCCTCTCGAAATGCTCGAAGTGCATTTCGACTGCGCAGGCTCGTATAAAATCTGCTTGGGCGCGGCGGGTGCTTCTCGCGACTACGCTCTCGTTGTGGTGCCGCGCGCATTTTCGGACGACATGGTGGTTACTTTACGTGGCAGGCGCAAAGGAAACCTCGTGCTTTGGTGGTCCAAAGTTGGCTTTTCGTGACAGGTGCAAGGGATCGGCTTCGAAGTGTAGATTTCGTGGCAGGCTCAGATGCTCGCTCTCACTCTCACCCGCTCTCACCCTCTCTCACTCACACTCACTCTCACTCTCACACACACTCACTCACTCCCTCGCTCACTCAACTCAACTCAACTCAACTCCACTCCACTCCACTCCACTCCACTCCACTCCACTCCACTCCACTCCCTCAACTCAACTCAACTCAACGCAACGCAACGCAACGCAACGCAACTCAACTCAACTCAACTCAACTCACTCCACTCACTCACTCAACTCACTCAACTCACTCACTCAACTCACTCACTCAACTCACTCACTCAACTCACTCACTCAACTCACTCACCTCACTCACTCGCCTCACTCACTCAACTCGCTCACTCAACTCGCTCACTCACTCCCTCACTCACTCGCTCCCTCACTCGCTCCCTCACTCCCTCCCTCACTCACTCACTCAACTCAACTCAACTCAACTCACTCAACTCACTCAACTCACTCAACTCACTCACTCAACTCACTCAACTCACTCACTCAACTCACTCAACTCACTCATTCAACTCACTCTTTCAACTCACTCGCTCGCTCCCTCACTCGCTCGCTCCCTCACTCACTCACTCGCTCCCTCGCTCACTCACTCACTCACCCACTGACTCACTCACCCACTCACTCACTCACTCACCCAGTCACTCACTCACTCACTCACTCACTCACTCACTCACTCACCACCTCATCACTGCCACCTTCACCACGATCCCCACCTTCATCACCACCAGGATAGTTTTTGGCACTTCCATGTTGACTTCCATCCTTTGATGCCTTCCTTTCTCTCCCTTCCCCCCCGTACCAGGATTGTGATCGAGACAACTTCATGACGCCCGAGGAGGCGAAGGAGCGGTTTGGACCGAATGGGCTGGGGGAACCATCTCCGCCCTTTGGCGCTGGTCAAGTACAGTGCAGGCTCTCATCAATGTGGCCAACTGATCTGCAGACTTGGTCACATCCATTTTTGCTGGGACAGTGTCTTCCGAACCATGGAACATCATGGAACCATGGTACAGCCTGTCACTTGTGTGGCCAGACGTCGACCCAAGACGTCGACCAGGAAGGCACTTTCCGCCAGCCTTCCCAGAGGAATCCATCCTCCATTTTCAGGTGAACATGGATGGCTGAGGTACAGGGTGGAGGAACCATGGGAGTGGCTGTGTAGAAGCTAAGTTTTCGAAGTCACAAGAGAGACCTGGAGCACTGTCAGGTGTGCAGGCGCATGTGACAATGTGGATCAAGCTTCCAGCGGAGGAATGGAATTCATCTCGAAGTCGCAGTCCGAAGCGAAATGTTTTGAGCAGCCATGGCAATGTCATTGCCATGGCTGCTTAAATGATATCGTTTTCTATGAGGATTTCATTTCGGCAGCTGAATGGTGAAACGATGGTTCTTGAAGTCATGCCAATCATCACTGGTTGCGAACTCAAAGAGCGAATCAAGGCGTGCCAGCCTTGGGACGACGAGTTCGCACTTAAAACAACCCTGGTGGACGTCGTGGCGGTGGTAGCAGATTTCCGCAAAATGATGAGGCGGTTGCAGACGCAGGCTTGTCTCCAGAATCAGGTGACGGCAATTTTGAGACGAAGCATTGCGACATGTTCCCACAAAGATGAGCTTGCCCAGTTTTGCCATGAGATTGACTTGGAGTCTCTATTTGATAATATTTGATCTATTTGCAGCTCAAATCCCAAACGGTGCAATTCAAGTTGTTCCACAAACAATCAAATTTTGCAAAAACTTGGCAAATTTGACAATCCCCGACTCAATGGTCCAGATTGGGAATGAAGCCTTTGCAGGATGTAGCTGGTTGGCAAGTGTGACCATCCCCCCTCAGTCTGAAGATGTTTGTGCTTTGGCTTTGGTGGTGCCCATGACTCGGACCCGGTGGGAGTTTGATGCTTTCCTGGGCTGCATACAGATTCTGGCAAAAAATGTGAATGTCAACAGTGCGAGTACTGCTGGTTTCTGAATGGCTGGGTGTGTCCTCAGAAGCGGCGGTCTTCACATCAGGGCCGCCATGGCCGTCACTGAGAGCCTTATCGAAGCTGTGCTTGCTGCTTGCCGAAATTAATCTCAATGGATGTATACTATGAGGTCTATTGGTTCATCCTGTATACAACCTTTTGAGGTCTGCCCAAAAAATGCCCATTGAAGGGCTCACTTGGTGGCTGACTTGGTGGGTTGGGTGCGAGGGTGAAGACCAAGTGGATTTCTCATGTTTTCGTCTACTTCCCGTAGAGGAGCATTCCCCAGTAGCTCACAGCTGGGAGCTAGTGTATACCAAGAGCACGGCCATCGCGCAGATCGAACTACCTGGAGCATGAAGTCCGGGTGGTGCTTTTCATGGCCCTTTCGGCGGACAGATTCTGATTCCCCATTTCGGGGTTTTGGCGCCAAGGGTATCCAGGGCGCTACAGGTTCCGGACGCCTTTTGGTGGTGAAAAAACAATGGGGCACCGGATGCAAACAGCCTCCGTATCTGTGCTTTTGATTGCTTTTGGTGGTATTGGTCCGAATGCTTTGGCAAGAGACGTGAACAGGGTCCGCATGCTTTTGGATGGGCACTGGATCAAGATAGGGGTTCAAACTTTAACAGGGTTTTGGCAAGAGGCCGAATGACAAATGTGTTTAGGCCATGAATTCAGAACGCTAAGAGGTTCTAGGTGATGTCGGGCGTCCCAATTGAAGACATGTGAGTGTCGTCAAGTGTAGAGAGTATTGAGAGCACTCAATGAGCAACCCCTTTGTACATACAGTATCTTCGGAACTGATTTTGATCGAACCTATATACTGGAGATATACTACATGGGTTGGAATTGAGGGCATGATCACCCGCCCGCGTGCATAAATCTCACATTGACTTCCCTGCATTTTCTCACATTCTAGTGCCCTTGTTGGTCTCATTGTGCCCTTTCAATTGTTCTCCCAAGCAAGCCTGGTCAAATTCACCTGTTTGTGAGGACTATGGCCTCATCGACGAGATCACACCCACCAAGGCTCCGTTATGGGGCGCGTTTTTGTGACCGCGGAGGACACGCGAGACGGTTGGTGCCACCGTTTGGGGAAAGAGATCGGCGAACAAACATATGCTCCAAATTGGGGGAGTTCGCTGAGTTGTGTCACCTTGGTCGGAGGAGGAGCCTTCAGCCGCTTCTAGTCCCCAATGTTCAGATGAAGGGCATCGCTACAAACGGAGCAAGGACGCGACGAACGTAGCTCCTGGTAGCGTCTTGCTCCTAGTAGTAAGGCCAGGAGCCCCTAGTAGCGTTCACACCTTTGTTGGCAAACATCCCGGCCTGGGAACGCCACAAATACAGCTCCCACCGTGTTCCTCGGAGCTGGAAAACGCGCACGGATGGTGGGATCGATGAGCTGCTTTTGGGTGAAGAGTCCACCATGAAGCTCGTTTTCTTACAGTGGTTTCAGAGGTTCGATGGCACAGACCCCCAAGATGTCCTGAACAGATGGGGGTCCATATAAACCACCTCTTGGGGTCTGTGCCATCTACTCGAATCTACTCTCAATCCACTATATTTGCTCCAAAGATTTATCCACCATCACGTTGGGCCTCCAGATGACAATCTCTGCAATCCGCTGACCTGCAGGTCCTCGAAACCTACCCGTTGATGCCATCCCAGCTGGGACCGGTACAAATAGAAATCTGACCTTTTCGCGACTTGAAGGGGGAGCCACAAAGGCTGAAGGCCTCCAATTCTTCAGAAATGAGAGTGGACATGAGACCATTCTCCAACATTCTTCACCAAGAAACATCACCCCGGTCTTTGGTGAGTTGAGAACTCCTACAGCGCCTGGGATCGGAACCACTGGGCAGGCACGGCCAGATTGCATCCACCGATGAAATCGAAACACCATGTTAGATCATGTTAGTAGATGTATGTTTGGGACAACAAAGAACGAATGAAACACGCTAGGTCACAACCGAACCAATATGAACCAGTAGTTTCAGCCCTCCTGGATTCCCTTCCCTCTCGCAGGCGTGGCCACGGATCCAGAAGCCCAAGCGACCGGAACTGTAAGGCCGGTACCGCCCTGCGACCCCAACGGTAGCATGGAGACTTGCACCGCTGTGCCAAGTCGGGATGGTTTGTTGCTTTTTTGGGGGGGAGGAGGCTGAAGTTGGGATTCATGTTCTATCATGTTCTATAAGGGTACTAACACATGGTCCATTTTTCTGAACGGTTCATGTTGTTCTTAGTCTTTGGTGCGGTGCATTTGGTTCGGCACGTCAGACGGAGGATGGTGAAGACGTGGATGGTCATATCGGAACCGATCCCCAGCGCTCCCAGCCCTGTCGCAGGCGGGCGGAGCCGCAAACGCGCTCCCAGAGAAACAGACAAACGTGCGCAGCGGTTGGTTGCCGCTACATGCCACGCAGATAGTGCAACCTCACCCGACTGCATTCCTTCTCTTGAGGGAAGGGTGCAAATTGTCCACAGACAAACGGCTCTAACAATTCTACTCTGTTATGTAGTTTAAAAAAGCTATATATTGAACATGTTGAACCCTCAAGTGCCTGTTTCAGTGATTTGCACTTTGTTGTTTGGCTAGTATGCACTGCCTGTGAAACTTGCAGGATACCCTTCAGCTGAAATTCCATGGCGCATCCAAATGATATTATCCACCCCGTGCGTGTTTGGTTTTGCTTAGGGTGATGTGATGTGATGTGTATGTTCCGCAAAGATGAGTCCCGTTTCTTGAAATGATGTATCCCCCCAAGCCACCCCAATGTACGCATATATGGCACAATACATGGAGTGTTTGGGTATTTTTTCAGGTTTCGTTTCCGCACATCCATGTTTTTCATTGTTGTTTGCTGCCAGGTCTTGGGTATCGCTTTGTCCAGTGAGGGCATCGCTGGAGATATAGTTTACGGTAGCCATAGCCCCACAAGGGGCCAAGACAGCAACGCAGCTGTGGCTCTATGTAAGCGGAAGCATGTAGTTTGGCTTTGCAGCAACAGAGGTGCCGATGAATTTGAGGGATGTTCGAACCAAAAAGAACATGGAACCATTTGAATCACCAACGGAAGGGACAGCTGGCTCTTTGCTTACACAAGGCTGCCGTGCCTGACAAGCTGAGCGAAGGATATAAGATAATGAGTGCCAAATGGGTTTCCTTCGTTTTACACTTACGTTTGGCAACCAGATGCCACCAGTAAAGCCCAATTTGGAAGTAAATATGACGTATATAGGTTGCTTGGACAAGCGCCCCCTCTATCCTGTCTTACTCAGTCACCATCATGTGCTTGCTACTTGGGCGCCATCCTATCACACCGATGTTCGCCGGGGCTTTTCACAGCACTTGTTCGCTCGGGTGCTGCTGGCATGTGCTGGGCGGCGCGGATGGGATGTTAGAGAGCAGTAATAGATGTAAATAGTCTTTGTAGCGTACTCATATATAGCATTGACCTGAAGCCACAGGAAGGCACAGTATATAAGTAATTATGAGGTAGTGATTGCCCCCATATGGCGAAGAGAAAACTATCACGGCTGTGGCGTGCCTTTTCAGCAGCTTTGGATCAGCAGTACGCGTTTTTTTTGATTGGGTTTAGCATGTTACTTCTGGGCCCATTTCATCCGGTCAAATCAATGCTGGAACTGACACATCGGAAGAACGAACCTTCAAAGCAGAGGGAGATGGGTGAAGCAGCGTCGGGTGTCACGGTGGCCTTGTTCAGTCCATGGGCCATCTACTTGGCCACTGGACGTGTGATTTTGGAAGCAGCGCGAGAAAAGAGAAGTTTGATAGCAGATCGTTGGGGAACTCAGGTTGAACAGATCGTAGTCGATAGCAGTTACAGGATAAGAATCAGACATCCCCGCCTTGAGGGCGTTCAGCCGACCCTTGTGTGCCTAAGCCGTGTCCCAATCAGACTTGTCATTCCTCAGAGTGTTCCTGTGGAGGAGGCTGCATAGTCGAGAGAGATCAATATGGTGGCACTTGAACTTGTTCACTTGAACTTGTTTACATAAAAATATAGCAAACATATAATTACCCTGGAAGTCAAAGACCAGTTTTAAAATGGTTGATCCTGGTTTTCTAGTGTATAAACAACCCTTTTTTTTCAGACCATGGTTCTTCGGTCAAAGCCTAAAAATGGGGTCTTCGACTTCGGTAGTTCGTTCGACTCAGGCGACTGGATCTGCTTCGGCCCTCTTTTGCTTTTATTCTGCAGGTTCTTGGGCTTTGGGTGTGCTTTTTTTTCCGCAGCCGTCACATGGCTCAAAGGAATCTCCGATTGGGACTGCTAAAGAGCTGCTTTTCTGGACATGTCCACGTTGAGTCGCGTTCGCCCGATGATCGAACAATGGCATGACAGCATGAAAGTTTCGCGATGTTCTTCGGGACCGGTAGCGGTAGCCTTCACCTGATTTGGCCATTGAACAACACTGACCGTCAACCCGGTCAGTGGGATAGTGACCATGGTCTTCAGAACCCCTATAGGAACGAGGATCCAGTAGAACACCATGTAGATATATCCCCCTATATACACTCCCGAAAACTCACATGGACCCTGAAAACGGCACCCTCAAAGACTGTGTTCCTATGTTAGTTTTGAGTAGGGTAATCTATATGATGGAGACGTGACACCAGTCTGGTTGGGGCTGAGATATCACCATCTACATCAGGCTTGTTGTCTCATCCTACATGGCACCAGATGGGCTGTTCGGTACATTTCTCATGTGCATCAATTCCATTTCGCCCCCCCTGCCCCTGTACCCCGGAAAAGATCAGCAACAGACACATATAGCTGGCTTAGGATTTAAATATATGGGTTTCAGAGTAGATGGCAGAATCCGCAACAAGTGGTTTAAATGGACCCCCATCTAAAAGACATGTTGGGGCTTGTGTCACCTAATTACTTTGCAACCACTGTATATTCTTTGTCATGTCAGAACTAGATGCAGCATGGATAACTTCTAAAGAGCTACAGTATCAAAACACTTTTGTGTTGGTGACGTGCTAGCCAGACTCCAAAATAAATGGGGAACGTGCAAAGCTAGATGTACGACCAACGCCTCCTTGGTTTGAGTTACTTGTAGCTTCTACTTAGGTCCGAAACGATCTGAACATTCCCGCGTCTTCCAAGGCAGCGACTCTGAAGAAGAGATGTTGAGCCGCGCACAGCTGGCGCTTCTCAGCTGTGTAGAAGCTGCATAAGCTGGCCAACACGATGAATCGTTTTGGACGGGACTTGGCACTGCAGTTTCTTTCCTTTTGTTGTTCACCGTTCATATGTTTTACTTGTTTGGGGGTGAGGGGAAGCCTAAGACCAACGACTACCTGAAGTTTTGCTTTCGTTGCGTGTTCCGTGCGAGTTGTGTTTTGCTAAACCAGACGCATCAGGGCCCAGGCTGCCCGGATGAGTCAGGAGGAGGTCATGGCAGCCATAGACTACAGGTTTGGGACGACACAACGCCACTGTGCTGCTCATGATTGAAGGACCCTGCTCAGCTGTAGTTGAGTTGTTCATCCATCCCTCAACCTTGTTGGCAGTCAGCATTGGTATGGCTACGTATTGCTTGGTGACCTAATATTTAGCAGTAAGGGACAGACGGGTGATGACGATTTTCTCGCTTGTGTGCTGATATGCGAACACGTAAGGTTAATGTCCCTGGGTATTTGCACCCTACTGCCTTACAACTGCCTGTTGAATGCTCAGCCCTACTTTGAGCAGAGCCTCAGCTGCGGAAATGGCGGGTGTGTGCTGTAGGCGCGGTGTCGGAGCGTTGTATAAGTCATGCAGTAGGCCAACAGTTTCTTTTTCTTCATTTTTATACTTTAGGGTGGGGCATATCAACATATCCTTCGCATTCCTTCGCCTAAAATATATAAGCATGTCTCCCTGGGCCACTGGAAGGGTTGTCCCACTGTTTTTTGTTGGCAAATTGTTAGACCTGAGCAACATCTTGTTTGTGCTTCATTGGCAGAGGTCCATTCATCCGAGCTTTTGAGAATGAGGTTAGGTTGGTTTCTTGGATTGCTTGGATTCATGTCACCTCCACTTAGACTTACACACTTGCGAACCCAACCCATGGGTCTTCAGGAGAGGTTTACGCGGTTGCTCCTGTGAAAGCGTAGACGTTTGCGAATCACATGTCCCACCAGCCTGTGGTTTGCATCACCGTTTTGGGGGTGGCGCCATGCGACGCTTGAGTCGTAAGAGATTTTGTCATGCCTTCGGACCAGAAAATAGGTAAGCCAAAGTGGATCCAGAAATATAGATTGGTAGGATGAGCTGAGTCACATAATGATGTGAGCCGTGTGTGAACATGCAGGAACCAGTTGGTTTGTAGGCAAACGGGGGAAGGCCCCAGTAGCTGGACTTGACGCCAAGACCACATATGGTCCAGCTCAGCGATACATCCCAAGAACTGGAACTACATAACTACCCACCCATACGACCTTTGTCACCCAAACGAGAGCCTTCACGATAGGTTTTCCTCCCAAACATGGATATGGTGTGAGGCAGGCGTGCAGGATTGGATCTATACATAGTGGTTTGCATGAGCAGCTTGTAGACTCTCAGATGCCTGATTGATGTGGCCCCGTTCGTGCCCAGGTATCCGTTCCAAGGCTTATACTTCCCATTCACCAGCCACCCGACGTGCATGCCAGCAGAATCTCTAGATCAGATGAGCCAGTCGCATGTTCTTTCAGTGGGATGTGAGGCCCTGAGAGAACTTGGGAAGCCTGTTGGCAACCCCTTCCCACAAGCATAGGCCATTTGAGACACTACTCTAGTCAACTCTCTAGTCACTCTCTCGTGCGAAATGCTTCAATTATCGGCCACGGGGTCCCACCCATACTTTGAGTCAATGAAGGCTTCCGGACTTGACCGCCTTCGTGGACTTGATATCTCATCGAGGAATCGGTGGGGAAAGGGGGGTCCAGCTTCAGTAGCTCATGTGGACGTGGTATCGTACCCTCTGACTCACTAACATGGAAGTGGATTGCATGGTCCCGAAAGGAAGACGACTTTCCTGTTCCGAACGGGGGGCCTGTTGTTTTTCCATGTGATGTGTTCGTCGGAGTGTAGTGATTCACAGCTTTTGGTCCTCGGATTGTAGTGATTGTCAACCTGAACCTGGGCACACTCGCCAGGTCCTTTTGGGTTGGGTGTGGCAGACATCCCAAGGCTGCACTGTTTTTGTTTGTCAAGATTTTGCAACCAGGGCTTCTGGAGCGTTAGGGCTGCGCATGTTCTACTCACCTACACTCAGACAACCGACACCATGGTGAATTTCGCCGCCTACCCAGTTTGTGTCTACCCATGCTTTTCCTCCTAATCATGAAGAGGTGGAACCAGGTTGACATATCTTAACCCTTATTTTGTGAAGCTGAGAGCGTCAGGCCGTCAGGCCATCTCAGGAAGCTGTGGGCGTTTGGGTGGGTGTTTTGCATCTCGCGGCTTCGTTAGAGCTCCACACGTCTTGGGCTCTCAGAATGTAGGTCACATGAGGTGTCATGAGGTGTCCTTACCTTCAAAACAATCATGCCAATCGGCCAAGGCCAAGCCAGAGTGGGTCATCAAGTTCAGATGCAATGTAAAAACAAGTGTTTCCCATTGCCAGTAACTGTTGACAAAGGATTATCATTTCTTTTTGGGAAAGGCCTTTACTAACACTGTTTATGTAGTATCCTCGGTGGATTCTGTTTATGTATCACTGTATCACTAAGGATATCCAATATCATGTTCCACAGTGTCGCCCATGTCCGCCATGTCATCCGTTTTTTTCCGTCGTCCTTCGACTCGAGGCATGATGACCTACTCGTTATGCCTCTGCACGGCACAACTCTGTCTGACATGTAAAGGTCCGCCGCCGTGTCCGGTCGGACGCGAGGGTCGGTATCTGGGTGTTGATGGCTGGCTGTAACGCTATGTTAACTAGGCATCACACAAGTAGACAGCTGAGGTTCTAAATTCGGCTTTGGGATGCTTTGGGGAGAGGAAGTTCTCTCTTGCTTTTGTTGGTGTTCTCCAGTGCGTGTCCGCTCTAAAAGTCTTAGTCCAGTCCAGCCTGACCCTTCGTTTCCAAGTGATTGCTCTCCAAATTGAACTAACAAATACGTTTGATGTTCTAAGAACTGAGTATCAACGGTACAGAACCCAAGCGCAGGCGATGGCTTTACAGTCAACCAGCGGATGGGCACAGCCTTCATCATGGAGGCACGTTTCCGGAGTTTCTGGGCGAGCCCGATGACTGGAGAGTGGCTGGGGTGGCGAAACGACTGGACAAATTAAGTTGGAATTGATTGATTGATTGGTTGGTTGGTTGGTTGATTGTGTATATGCCTGATTTGTTCACACCTTGCTGGATTGTTGTTTGGCCATTTCGTCTTTTGCAGGCTTTCCAGATACTCGTATCAACAGCCAGAGTAGCAACCAGTCACTCCAGGAGTGTGTCGACATACGAGTGGCAGTTGGAGTGTACCTGGAAATGATTAGTATTAATATTTTGAAGCACTGCATTGCTAAAGGGTACACACCATGATCACTCGTGGGGGGCCCCGCCTGGTACAAAGCCATATCATTTCCGGTGGTGAACCACGCCGCCATGGCATTTACTAGACAAATCATGGCTTGAGTGCAGGAGGTGGCAACCAAAACTAGTAACAGGTTGTTATTGGGTACGTTCAAGGCCTGGGCCAGTACCTGAGGTCGTTTAAACAGGTTGCAAAGGGGCTTCCGCAAAACCTCAACGATCCACACGAGCTGAACAGGTCATCGTGTGCCTCTCCTTTTTTCGGCTGCTGGGCAATACTTCAGACATCTCAAGGAGCCTGGAGGCGTTGGTCCCCTGTTTGGGCCACCTGTTTGGGCCACCTGTTTTGGTGCAACGAAAAACTTAAAGGATATGGCCGATCAGAACATGGTGTTGAATCCTTACTGTTGAGATTAACTGGAAGCCCTGGCCTGTGGATGAAACAGACACGTCTCAAAGAAAACAACGTTTGCGTTATACTTCCCTATTCTTCCCTTTGCAAGATTTACACCATATTTGTTTGTTGAGTCAAAGCTTTGGCTGGCGTTTGTTGTCATGACACCCTGGGCCGCATAAGCCGCCGCTCGTAAGCCGCGTCGTGGACACGGCGCGGTGCAGCGGAACGTGCGTTCTGAGGGCTGACCTCAGCTTCTAGAAGTCATGGCTCGCGGCTCTATGTGCCTGGCTCGGCTATAGGGTTGGGGGTTGAGACAGCTCAATTAGGATGGACAAAATAGCATCAACGAGTCAAGAGTGACTACAAGTACCATCAACTACTGTACCTCACTCAATAATAGCAATCTATTAATTTGTAGTCTCTTGCTGTACCTCAATGAGTCAAGAGTGGCTTCTTTCTCAGCAACTCTCCTTTTCAGCCAGACCCAACGGAACGTGCGAATCGTTGGTCGTTGTATCATGGGGTGCGAATCGTCTCGTGTGAATCAGCTCCCTGCATCTGAAGATGAGAATCGTTTGTGCTGGACCACATGGCGACACAGCTGGTGAGCTTGAGAGAGATGACATGATAATGACTGCAGCCTTGAAGCTGAGGCATGTCCACTGGGAGTATGCAAGAAATTGATTTGGAGAATTGGACACCTCAGACATCCCCGGAGTTAATGATAGATGCTTCATGATATTTGTATTCATGTTCTTCAAGAGCTGCTTTGATGATAGTACAATATAGTACAGTAAACGTACAGTATATATATGATTGTATATTGGACAACTATGTGACCACAAGAGAAACTAAGTTTTGAAGAACATGAGTGCACAATGCTAGACTCTGTATACCGTGCTTATATAAAGCAGGACGAGTCGGAAGTTGACCCACACTAGCCAGCAGGGGGTGGGGTCGAGCCCAAAGACCCGGGTCCTGAGACCCGAACCGGGCGACCCGCATGGACCAGACTGGATGACGAGTTGTCTCAGGTTGTCTCTACAAACCGGGCATGGTTTTCAGGTTCCATGTGGGTCTCTTCCAGAGTGTAAGTATACTGCTATTCTCATATATATATATATTGTGTGTTTTTGTTATCTGGTTTACACTAACATATATTTGGTTTGATGAGGGGCATGCCAACAAGAATTCCTTGAGGATGGGGGAACCGTTTCTCACGTGAGAAACATGACTTTATCTCCAAGTGCCCGAACATGCATGTTCAAATGAACAATCATGATGTGTCATGTCTTCATGTCTTCATCTTACATGTTCCTTCATGTTCCTTCACCTGAACACTTTCAAACCATGACCATGAACTCTTCTATGTCACACCGCGCTCTGTCACATCGCGGCAAAAGCCGCAACGGTCCTTCTCCGTTTGTCGCTCCCTCTGGTCGCTCGACCGGCCATCGGCGCTCAGCAGGTGCCCATGTTGGTGACGATCGCCGCCCGGGAGCCCGGAGACCGCCGCTGACGTCACGTCGCTCATCGTCGCTGTGAAAAGCCCGGTGTGGCCCGAGCCGACATGAGCCGACAGTTCGACATGTTTTGGGGAGCTCAGTACATCTTATATAGTACTCTTATGTGTAGATGATTGAAATATGCAGTCTTGGGTGTTAAACTATAGCTCAGAGACTTCCCGTGGCGTTTCCGTGGCGTTTCGACCCAGGACGCATCGCCGCGATCCTCGCAGGTCTTAGCGGTCTCCAATGCGGTGCTGCAGACGGGCGTGTTTGGGGTCGCAGGCCGCGCGAGGATCCGTCCCAGCGAAAAGCGAGGATCCCAGCGGTGGATGAGTTGAACCTGAGTATGTTGGATGGGCAGTTTAACCTGTTCTTGCAATTCAATTGATGGTACTTCTTTCAAGTGTCGTTTTCTTTTTTTCCAAATTTTGTTGACAGGTGAGGGTAAGAGTTTGTATCATTTGTTGAGTCAAGCAGTTTTCTGATGACATCTCAGCAAGGACCATGAGCCTCATGTCATCACACCATCCTCCACCACAGCTTTGTGCTCGAGACGCCACGCGACGCGGTACACGACTCGCCACGGGCCGAAGATGTCGAGGCAACGGCAGGGGGGGGCTGCTGGCGCTGCTGGCGCTGGCTTGGATCGGTGTAGTGCCCATGGCCTTCTTTGGAGGGGAGGAACCGAAACCCGGGGTCAAGCCCAAGGGTTACGATGGGTCTGAGATCAAGCCAGAGGAGATGGGCAAGACTGATTGGGAGGTGCAGTGGTGGAGAGAGATGAAGGAAGCACAAGAGGAAATGGCGAAGAAGCAGGAGATCGAGGCTTCAAGGGCTGATGAAGCGAATGCGGAGCAAGGCAAAATCCTCTTGTACCTTTTCGGCTTCCTACTCTTCGGCACCTTCCTGGTCTTCCTCCCCGGGTATTTGGGCCTGAGATGAGCCAAGATTTAGATCTTCGGTTGCACGGCGTCGTCGGTTGCAACCCCACACAAAAGGCAATGATTTAGACAGAAACCCCAACAGCGAGGCAAGCGCAAGAAAGTGGCTCGTGCGATTAGAGGATCAAAACTACAGATATTATCTAAATAAAGATGCTATACTGCAAAAGGTGGTTCTTTCTCAGTGACCATTTTCACATCCTTTCACCATGTTTGCATGCCTTTGGATTCGCTTACGCACCACAGAACGTGCGGAACCGCCAGGCTCCATCAACCAGAGGATGTCCTCTGCGGTGATGTTGGGTTTGGGGATCTCGGGGCTTGTGACCTGGCACGGGGCGCAAGGCTTCTGCCCGGGGGGAGGTGGTTTTTCGGATGGAAGAGGTATGAGGAGGGGAATTGAGGGGGACTTCAAGAAGGAGCTGAGTTGAGCAGGCCTTCGGAGAACATCCGGTGATTGTTCGGATTTCAGAGGTTTTTTCTGCGGTGATCTTGGAACACCGCAGCTGGAGCCACTGGAGGCCGAATACCTCCGGTGGGACGGCCTAACTTGATGTTCCTTCAGGTCGACTGCCTCAAGTAAACCATGTACCGCATGAAAGCCTTAGAAATTGGAAGGTTCAGCCAGCCAGCTGACCAAGCTACAGTGGGTTCTCAGTAAATCAATTTCAATGTAAGTCAACCCTTGCTTACTCTCTTGGCCAAAATGGCAATCTTTGTGCCAGAGTTGGAGATTTGGCATGCAACAGGCCGTTTTCCTGCTTGATGTTTTTTTTGTAAGAGCAACTGTCCAAGATCCCTCATCAACGACCCATCCCACCTCACTGCCATTAGAAGGATTCTCGTAGGTCGGTGGTGTGAAAATCTCGAAAGTTCCCCAATGCTGCCACCCCCAAATTTGAGCCTCAAACCGGCTTCCAAGACCACCTCCAGTGGTGTTCACGGCGTGAGGGTGTCTCATCACACTCTGCTAAGCTGGGTGGGTTAGGAAGCCTCCCGCAGCGACTTTGCCTCGGCTGTTCCGCTTCCTAATCGAACCGGAGCTCTCTCCGCCGATTCCGCGAGTGCGGAGACGTTGACAAGTTGGATGGCACTCGTGAAGTCTTGCTTCCGCCTTGTTCCGCATCAGCTCGAGGTGAGCTTCTTCGTCTCCTCGCTGGTGCAGGGGATCCAGCATGCCGCTGGATGGAAGTGCAAGGGAATCAACGTGCTACATGTTGGTTCGGTCCAAAACCCTGGTTGTGAGGGTCAAAACCCTAGCGAACTGAGGGTCCAATGAGCCTTTAAGGTGTATTGATCCGGTTGTTTTTTGTCCAAAGAGGTTGAGGAGGCATCCGATGTTTTCAAGCCAACAGTTGCAGCTTTTTGCGAGCCAGAGTGCCTCAGATCCCTTTTTTTTGTCAGAATCACTGAAAAACCTAGTCAAAAAAGTGGTCACTCCCCTTTGGGTGATCATATAGTGCTCCCAAAAGCTCAACGTTCGTAGGCTACCTGTAAGATTTTGAAACTACATGTTTCAAATCCCAGGTGCCAGCATCCACTGGGCGGCAGTCACTCACACCCACCGAATTCAACACAATTCAACATAGTCCAGCGGAATTCATCCGGCCCCAGATTCTGCCAATCCGACCATATTCCGATTCGTTCGCTATTCATGCCGTTTCGTCCACCGTTTTTGAGGCGATCAACCCAGCCACTAGCGATTCAGCGGACGCGGGCATGGTGGTGGCATTGGTGATGTGGGTCTCTTGGTGCACCGTTCCGCGTTTTTGCGCGTTTTCTCACGAAGCCGTAGACAGGATCTGGTGGGATTCGGGGTTGGGAGGTCGGAGGTGAAGGTGTCAATTGTTTTTTGGGGGGAAAGAGACGCTCCAAAGCCAAAAAGAGACGCCAAAGTCTGATCACGTGATTTTTTGGTCCAACAAATCTCACAGAACCCGTGATGAACATGTCCTGATGCAATCTCTCCGAGGCAGACACCCCATTGGTTCGATGAATTAACATAAGCAGCGATCTTAAATCATCTTAAATCTTAATACGTTCTTGCCTCAACCCTGAGTATCCTGGGCTCAATGATCAGCATCGGCAGCTCCGGACTCCTGAACCAGAACATGAGTGGCCAGTGGCCAGCTATGCAAAGAAGCGCGGGTGTACATGTTGCATTGTTTGGCCCATGATATGCCCACCATTTTGTAGTCAAGAACTCAATCAGGAGTTGCCAACATCAGTTCTATGTGACTTTTGTCGTGCTCCCATCTTGTAAATTTAAGATAGGTTGGTTGTTTTCATTTAGCACACATTCATCATGGGTTCTGTGAGATTTGCTTGACCAAGAAAGCCATCAAACTTTGAAGTCGCTTCTGGTTTCGGAGTCTCCCAGATGTTTGACCTCTTATGTATACGTAATATTATATATATATACCTGGAACCCGTTTGACCTTTGTTTTGATAGGAAAAGACATGAAAAGACCATATTTTGGGTGGTTGGTGGTCCAAAATAGAGGTCATTCAGGTTCTAGATATGTTTTGTTTGTTAAGTTTTGGCGAAAGGTTCAGATGGATCAAGAGTGGAAATTGGTTTGCGGTGTAATGTTTCTCCGGCTCATTGGCCTGCCCCTCCTTTCCTTTGGGTTAGGCAATGTACGTTGAGGCTTACTGTTCAGATAGGTGAACAATCTTTGGAATGGATGCGTCATTTTACTTTAGTCAGCGCATACCCTCTAGGATCGTAACGCGAACCCATTCTTTTCCCTTGCCTCACTGTGGTCACTGGACTCCGCGCGCTTGGCGCACCCCGGCAGATGGAGCCCCCCCCCCCGCCCCCCCCCCAACTTCGGAAACTGTGGGTGTGGAGTGCCCATGACCCGCGCGCCATGGCGTTTTTTTCCGTTCGGTGCACCGACAGAGGCCATTTGCATTCTCCAGACACTGACCTCTTGCTGGATCTACTTTGTTTACCTACGCCTGGGCAACGAGGAACCATGTTCAAGTCGGACGGTCCAAACCAGAAAATAGTTTCGCTCCAAGTTCCCTCCTTTGGGTTATTCCTTCTTGCATGTTGTAGGATCTAGTCCCCAAGATGAGGAAACAAAAAACTTAAACAGTTGAATCACATTTCTTTGCTTTGTCGCAATCACATCTCAACATCAACCATACTGGTGTGATGATATTGTTTGTTGATGGACCATGGACAAAACATGACAAAACTTGGTTTCCAGACACAGTGATGCTCATCAACATTTGGGGTCATTGGAAGCTGATGATTGCTGTGCAGAGTTGTTCATTTCCGGGGGTGCGTTAAAACCACAAAACCAAACAGGAGAGTTCTTTCTCAATCAAACACATGGTCTCCATTGCTTCATGCCGGCTATACCAATACATCCATCCAATATCTGAGAATATCGTTGGAATCTTCATGTGGACCCTTGCCTTATCTGGCCTTTTTCCTTCCACTCAGCAGTTTGGGGATGATTTGGGGATCCAGTGAAAATCCTTTGAACTATGTATGACTCCGGTTTTGACGTCCAAAATGGGCCGCAGCGTATATAGATAGATTTCAGGAGACGGCCAGCGCCATCGCCATGCTCGAGGAGCAGCGCACCAGAGCACCCTCGGAGGTGGGATGGGACGCATCCAAGTGGTTCTTTCCGGGTTGAGAGAGTCAAAACGGCCTTGAGCAGAGGGTCCCTTCTTATGGAGGCTGTTGTGGCGGAGTCGTCACACAGGGGGGCCTGGCATTGGGCGAACGGAGCGAGCTTTGGCACGATGAAGGCTCCTTGAGGCTACAAGGGATCGACCTGGTTTCAGAACTACTGAGGGAGCTTGATTCGACATGAGCACTCGTCAAGCCAACTTCTACCGCGGCGATCTCGTTTGGCCCAAGACGGAAAAAGCAACACGCTCTTCGCGAACCGCAGGCCGCTCCTTTTCTACCCTCACCAACTGCCATGGCTGTGCGACCAGAGTCGGTTGAGGAGTGGTGCCTGTTGATGCCCAACTTGCCCCTTGGAGAGAGGGTCACAGTGAGGACCCTTTGAACACTTCCACCTGATCCCCCCAAGTATACTAAGCAGCTGCCAAGAATGCCTAATTGATTCCAAATGCAGCTTTGGAAGATGGACGTGTCCATGGTCCTTCGGTGGTTCGCTTCAGCACCAAGAAGGCCTAGTGATGCAATTCAGTGCCTTTGTGCGGGCCCAATGGCCGCAGATATCCCCAGATATGGGTTGTAACGCGATGTTTTTTGATCTCTCCACCTTCACCACTCCGGATTGGGGGTTAGCTTTACGACAAAAATAGGCAACAAGCATCCCTACGGTTGATCCGAGACAGCTCCTTTTTTGCTATACATGTGGGCTTCCAATATCAATAAGTTTCTGAGACAGCTATATACATATATCATTATACACACATTTGCCAACATAATCCCTCCAAGTCGATGACCTCGTAAAACTTGTCCATCTCAATATGACGACATTGAACACTATTAACTTTACGTTGAACACCTTTTACTTGACCCCATCAAAACCTGAATTGTGTTCATTGTCTCCTGAGAGGTGGATTTAGTTAAATATGTAAGGAAACCTGCTCCTTTTTGGTGGGTATTTTGGATGGCAAGCGGCTAAGCCAAGAACCGCAGTAGAGAACCATGGGTAACTGCTGGATGGCAAGCGGCTAAGCCAAGAACCGCAGTAGGATTTCAGCTAGGAACCATTAAGGGTTGCTTCTGGATGGCTAGCGGCTAAGCCAAGAACCGCAGTAGGATCACCTCTAGGAACCACTGGGGTCATCTGCAGTTGGAGGCTCGTTGTTTGTATTTTACAGCAAAATTTTCTAGGCGACCCAATTTGAGGCCTCAACATAGATGACATGGGTCCTTGACCTCAAGGAGTACTGGTTTTGAATACTGGATCCAGTCACTTTAGGCCCTTCACCTGTAGGGCATGAACACACATGTGCATGCATTCATGCCTCACTTCCCTCCTCGTGCGTTGGGATGCGGCGAGCAATAGCTCATCACCGGAAAGCCTGGGAGCCTATCGTCGAAGATGAAGGTGCACATGCCATGTTTAATCTGGGATGGACACTGGGATGGACATGCAGTGGGGACAGGGTGTTTGATGGCAAGCGGCTAAGCCAAGAACATCGATGGGATGATGAATTGAATTCTTTTGAATCGACTTGGAGAGGAAACTGGTGGTTGTTTGGTTGGAAATCTGGATGGCAAGCGGCCAAGCCAAGAACCGCAGCTAGGAACCAAGAAGTTGCAGTTAGATGGCAAGCGGCTAAGCCAAGAACGGCAGTAGGATTGTCACTAGGAAATATAACCTGCTGGATGGCGAGCGGCTAAGCCAAGAACCGCAGTAGGAAATTTTTGCTGTTTCTGAGCAGAACCACATACATGAGCCGATCTTGATGTGGCCATTTGGCTGGATGAGCTGGATGAGGGAGCACCATTGCAAGGCAACAGTGTTTCTGCACGATCATCCCTAGGACTCGACTGGGGCGGGGGTCACGTCTGGTTTCGAAGCCATGCCGGATTCGAAGCCACGGGAGCTGCTCGTCCAGGTGCTGAAGGCGAGGCCATTTGGAAACTGACATGAGGGACAGTCAAAACTCCTGATTCTTCTTCAACTAAAATATGGACGTTATCGGTTCTGAGTTGGACCTTATCCATTTGCAGGGTTGTGAGCACAAACCTACCCCTTTTTCAAAAAGTTGTCTTTGCATGTTTTGACTGTGGCTCACATGATGTTGGAGCTGCATAGAGGAACCACGACCACTGACTAGATCTTTGGAGTTGGACTTGTGTGCTCAGATGGAGAACACCCACCTGAGCCTGGCTAGGACTTCTATGATCAACGGCTGGTGGATGAGGGCAGGGAGATCCGCATGGAGGATTTGGCCAAGAAGATGGGAATGCCAGCAACTTGACATGGGATATAGTGACTTTCTGCACCACATCAGCTGGGAAGCGCTTTCTGCACCACCACATCAGCTGCCTCAATATAGCCAACAGGACTTCCGTTGAGGGGGGCGTCGAATTTCCCTTTATCTTAAAGACTTCAACGGCCCCTTGAGACCTGAAGGGCCATTTGAGACCTCAAGGTCCCTTCGCCATTGTTGAGTCAGTTGTGAGGATGGGGCTGCAGTGCTGGTTCTTGAAGCCAAAGGCACACATGTTCTGCCTCGTTTTGGCTCGCACCGAGAGAGAGCGATTCTTGGCTGAGTGTGCCTTTGGATGACATTGACTGGTCTTTCCTCTAGAGGAGAACTTGATTTGCAGGTTTGAGCTGGTAATTCCAGGTTCAAAGAGGCTTCACTGGTTTTTTGGGAAGAGGTTTCTGTGGTCTTTTGGGTCAATTAACCTGTTCTTTGCTCACTGGATTTGAGCATCTCAGGACTGAACTCGAGGTTCTCGCATTGCTTCTCAGAAGAAGACACCATCGGGATGATCAAGAAGCTGTCATGTGCAATCTCTGGCAGACACATGGAAAAGTTCCTGGCCAAGATTGCGAGGCTCCGCTTGAAGTGCGCAAAGGCACGCATGCGCAGGACAGTTTGGCTCTCTGATTGCATAGTACCATTCAGGTTGGTTACTCATTCTGCAGCAACTTCTTGTTGTGAATTTGGATGGCATGCGGCCAAGCCAAGAACCGCAGCTAGGAACCAAGAATTTGCAGTGGGATGGCAAGTGGCTAAGCCAAGAACCGTGCTAGCATCACTAGCATGAATGGAACTGGACTTGCTCTAAAATTGTTTTTCTCTTTGCATTTGACTTGTGGCAGGATCGATATAGATCTGGTGTGGCGACGATGACATGGCAAGGACTGGCAGTTTTAGCATCTTCTGATGGCAAGCGGCTAAGCCAAGAACCGCAGCTAGGACTATAGAATATGCAGTGAACATGTGAAGGTTCACATACAACATCACACCAGGAGGTAACGTAACGTGATTTAATGAATTTGGTTACTGTTTTGAGTGCTTTTTCATCGATTTGTGCAGGATCTATGTGGGCTCTGGTGGCGACCAGTGTGGTTGAGACAAAAGGGCGGTTCTTCCGACAAACACGATGACCTCGTAAAACTTGATCGTTCTCAAATGACCTTGTTAAACTTGCACTTCGGACTTGCAGGGAATATGTTCCTTCTTTTTGTGAGTGTTGCCGGACATTCGAGGCAGCAGAGTGAAACACACAGTACCATGTTAACCAGACACGTGTCGCGTGGCTCCGCCTCCATAGTTTCGCTTTTCTGGCACCCTGACTCACTCAGGTTTGAGGTCAATGACTGGACAGTGGCTTTGACGACTGCTGAGGCAGCCTTGATGCACAGCAGCTGTGCCTGGGGTGGTCGCTTGGGACGCAGAAAGCCCAACTGCTGCGCTATGCTGCGATTGCTTTGCTGCGCTGTGACGCACACGGGTTCACGAATGAGTCATTTGAACGAATGTCGACTGAATTCCCCAGATTTTGTTTGATTGGATGGCGTTTTTCATCACGAAACCCGAAGCAAACAGGCACTCAATCATATGCTGTTTGTTGAATAGAGCGGTGGTTTGTGGCTATAAAAAGTTCTCGGAGATGTGTAGCGAGATCATGAAGATCGACGCAAGAAGTCAGCACGTTGTGCATGATTCCCTGCGGAGCCTGCATGAAGGCACGTACAGCCTCATGTTTGCTCGCCCCACGTGTTATCACTGTAATTGGCCAGTTTTTTCCGGACTTCGACAAGGCTACTTCTTCCTCGACTTGGCGCAACCAGTGTTCCACAATTCAGAGCATTTTTCCGTAGTTTTCCTTAACCCTGACCCCATCCCCCGTCCCATGTGCTTTGCGATGCGCCTCAACTAGCCGCAACTATTCACATCAAGGACATCTCCTGAAGTTTGAGCTAAAAGATCTGACGATCCAAAACGCCCCCGAAGATCCTGCCCAGATCTTGGTCAGGCGGGGACGTTCATCGAAGATTTCATGAGGAGAATGTATTTCGGGGAGTGCATTCTAAGATGCCCCATGCTCCATGAAGACCTATAGTGAGGGTTGCGTGATGTGTTTGGTTTAGAGTTTAGAGGAATTGTGATGTTCATCAACTTCTAGTTATTTGTTTGTTCACCTACGTAAGTTTGCGCAGGCCTGAGGTGCGAGCTTTGCATCAAGACACGTGTCCTCTCAACGGCTTCCTGGACGCAATACGACTCTGTGTTGAGCTTGCGCTTTTGTTTGACTAGGTTCCCCCACAGGATGAACATGTGCATTTTCAAGATATCCACATACCCACACTCACACACACAGGCGCATGGTTCAAGACCACTTCAAGACTGATATTCACCGATACTGGGCACAAGGATAACGACCAACGAACGGGTGCAGAGTTCGCCAACGAACGGTGACAGCTGGAGGATCGGATCCAACGCGGTGACTCGTAGACCGTAAGAGCTCACGGCCTCACGAAAGCCGTCCCTGGAAGATGCTCACGGCGATGTTGGGGTTGTTTATTCCATGTGACCTGTTACATGCTGTTACCTTCCCTCCAACAATCATGGAAGTGGACAATGGCCTCCTGGAACATGATTTTCCTCTACAAACAGGGGATTGTCCACTTCTATGTCTGTTTCAGGGAGTGTAACTGTTACTGAGATCACCATGGCTCACTTTGAGCCACTGTCGGCTCATGAGGTGGGTTGAATCATCAGCCGTTGGGCTGTTGTGCTGTAGCCCTTTTTGTTATATAGGCTATATAGGCAAGGTTTTTGCCTAGACTGTATGTTGGAAAGATTTTAGGAGTCCTGTGGGTAAATCTTCCATACATCAGTATGGCATTTGGGCAATTTTCTGCGCTGTCGGCACCGCAGCGCTCCCAGGTGTGAAGGTGGGCTCCTCTGTGGGTTTCGTCGCTCCCGGGGAAGCCATCGTCGAGGCGAGCATTGCTCAGGAGGCCACCATGAAGCTATGCTCTGTGCTCTTTGGGGACACTGGTCTGGGTCAAGTTACGGCCTATTTTCCCAGTTGCTGCGGGGGGCCTTTTTTGAAACACTCCTCCAGGGTTGTAGGACCTGTAGGATGCTGGAGCTCGCTAAGATCCTGCAGGAACACAGGTTCTGTGAAGAACGGCCGCTCTTGGGTTGTGTCCTGCAGCCCAGTAGTGAACTTCAAGTTGGCCGCGTGTTCCCTTTGTTTTTTTTCTCACGGGGTTCCTTATGAAAGGATGGACAACGAGGCTTCAACGGCAAAGAAACCGAGTTTTTCTCATACGGATGCAGGGGAAAAAACTACATGAAGAAGACAGACAAAAAAAAATCGGCCATCGCATCGATGCACCAACTGAGGATATGGCAGGACAGGTCATGGACTATCTCTTCCGTGACTTGCTTCGTCGAGAGCTCCGTGGCCGAGTAGGGCCTTTGGTTTGCCGACGTCAGTAATTATACGCCCCACATTTGGCTGATGCTGACTTGATATTTAAATATATTTGACGTGAAAAGCTGCATTATCAATGAAGAATGTTGATCGGAAAGCACCCCCCCTAAAAAACAGGCCCGAATGAGCTTGCGTGTCAGTTGGTTGTTTCAGGTGGCTGGTTGTTTGC